GGCTGGAGGAGCCCACCCAAGCCTGAGGTAAAAGCCCAGCATCCCACAGCCAATGGAAGGGAGAGGCCTGGGCCATGCCCTCCCTGGATCCCCAGGTCAGCTTTGCCAGTCCCTGTCCTTTACCAAAGATGAATGAAGCAAATGTTATGCTGCCTTATTCAGGGAAGGAGGAGCCTGTCCTGCCTGCCCCCGTGACCCTGCCCCCCCAAGTCAGGGGCCTGAGATGTGGAACTGCCCCCACTGAGGGGGGAGACCCAGTTTTGTCAATGCAATTGTCTCTGTTTTACAAGTTGGAGTCACTCTTATGCTGTACCCAGTTTCTAAACTGGAGACTTTGTGTGCTCTCTGGGCTCTGAGTACCCCTGCTGTGGGCTTAGGCCTTGGGCTGGATTGGAAAGAGCTGAAGGTGATGGCCCTTGTGCTCCTGGCCTGGCACCTGTTCCCCAGCTGGAGCAGAAAGATGAACAGAACCGTGAGGGCATCTGAGCCGGCTGGCTGCCCTGAGAGGGCTGTTCAGGAGAGCCAGGGGAATTGTAGCAGACTGGCTATGAGTCGTGACCCTGCTAGGCCAGGGCCCTCTCCACCTGGTAGAAGGGAGAGCCCATTATGATGCCACCAACTGTGTCCAAAACCACCAGCTCTCTTCCTCCTTGGCCAGCCTTGCCTATCCCCATGAGGTCTCAGCCTCTCCCTTCTTGCTCCTCCCCTGCGGAGGGACGGCAGCAGGGGCAGGGGGAGCCAGTATCTCCAAGCAGCTTAGAGTTGGCCTTATTTACCTCAGCCTGGGCGCTGGTCCTTTCTTCCGGCCCCTCCCCTCCAAAATGTGCCTATTGCCAGAGCTCCTCCCTCTCAACACCCAGTTTCCTTGGGAGTTGTCATTAAAGGAAAAAAAAAGCCAGTGCCCAGGGATGGGCATCTCCAGGGAGCTGGGGATTAGCGCCAGGCAGCTCATTGCCAGCCATGCCCATCTACCCACGGGCACCAGAACAAGCCAAAGCCTTCGTTGTATGTTGACGATGCACTTTTATGAATGTAGTTTCTATCGCTGTTTTTAGCCTTTTCACATCATGTAATGTGAGGCCTTGTACTTGTTAATTTATATCTCAGATCATATTTGATGGTTTTTATATATATCAATTCTAGACTGTTACAGGTGATGGACGCCTCAAGAGAGAGAAGAGAAAATGAAAGCAGCTGGTTTTGCAGGGATGTGTGTTGCACGGTGCCAGTTGGGCCTGGGCCCCTCTGTTTCCATCCTGTTCCCCAGGGGCCTCTGTCAGGCACCCCCAGCCCGGCCCTCTGAAGACAGTGAGCATGTTCTCCTGCCTCCACCTCGGCCCTTGCCCAGGGTGGGGACCGGTCCCCCATCTTGACCAAAGCTGCCAGGTGGCAGCTCGGCCTCTCCATGACCCTGTCCTGATGGCTGTAGCACTCTTCTTGGGCCCACACCCCAGTCCCCCTTCCCCAAGAGGAAACAGAGCGTGGTGCCGGCGCTGACAAGATGAGACGACTCTGTGTGTTCCAGGTTCAGGCTCTCGCAGAGCCCCACCCCCAGGGTCTGACCTCACAGGGAATGTGTTTTAAAAATGAATTTGCAAAACCAACCAACCCTGCACTCCAAAAAGACAAAAGACCCTGGGTTTTTTGTGCCAAAAACTGTGGACTTGCTGGCTCAGCATCCTCAGGACCAAGCTGTTGCTTAATTTTAATTTATTATTTTTTTTAATTAAATAATCCAAATGAAAACTTGTGGGCCTAGGATGGCCTGGGTCCAAAGGTTCTGAAGGGCAGTCTCCTAGCAGCCCCAGGCTTGCTGTGGGAAGGGCCGTGCCGCCATTTGCTCATCATTCCATGGGGTATGTCGGCCACGGCCAACCCAACACAGGCCAGGGCTGAGGACAGTCCGCTCTCCGCCACCTCCTGCCCCTCCCGACCACGCCAGCTCTGTGTCTGTGTCTGAATTGTGGATCGTGCAGAAGAACCTGCAGCCATAGTTATTTGACTATATCTTGACCGAGGGCTTGCAGTGCAAAGCCAGGCCAGTGTCGTGCATTACTTACAATAAAAGGGATCATTTATACCCAAGGGGTCCTGTGGCAGTGCTTCTGGTTGGGGGATGGAGGGAGTAGGTGTTTGCCTGGGAGGAGCCAGGTATGGTGCCTGGCAACAAGCTTGGGTCCCTCAGCAAAGGAGAGCTTAAAATGACTCCAAGGGGTCCTGGGATGGGATGACTTAGCTGGTACCACTGCCATCTCAGAGGTGGCACCCCCTCTTCACACTCCCAGGAGCTGCACTGTGTGGGTCTGTCAGTGCTGATTTACTGAGGTGGCAGTCTGCCCCCATGACCCGAGCTCACCAGTGGCTGGGTTCCCAGGATCTTCTTGGCATCTAGTACAGACTTCCTGGCCCAGGGAAGGACTCCTTAGTCCCATCCTTGCAGGGCAGGAATCAGGTGCCTCCAGGAGCCAGCTCTCTGGTATCTCTCCCCTTTGTCTATCTGCCACTGTTGCTTAGGTCTGAGCAGAGGCCATTCTTGCCCCAATCTGAGGCCTCTGGTGCAGAAGTCTGGCCTGCCCTGAGTGAGGTTCTCAGCAGCCCTCCTCATGCTCTGAGGACCCAGGCCTAGAGTGTCATCTCTGCTCACTGAGTGTTAGCTCTGCTGCTTCAGGGGGCAGTGTCTGCCTCAACACAGCACAGTGGCCACAGCCCCCAGAGCTTGATGCCCAGTTCCCTATCCTGTCCTATGGGCATGAAGTCACTTAGAGACTTAAGGAGTTTATGGCGCGGTGGCAGCAAATCCCCCAGGAGTCTGCTCCACCAACTCAGGTAGCCCACGGGCAGTTTGGGGCAATCAGAATAGTTGGGTCTGGGGCAGGAGAACCCAGACTTCCTGTGTTTTGCTGGAGGTGAGGTCTCAGGTCCTCCACGCTTGCCTTGTTGCTCTGATGGAAATTGTTGTTCCTCAGAGGAGCAGGCAGGCTGTGTTTCCTTGGACTACCTGCGACAGTGAACCATGGCTGCCCCACTCCCCAGAGCTTGAAAAAATGGGGGGAAGCTGACAGATGGAGAAAGGGCACAGAGACTAGGAAACTTTCGACAGCACTTTCTGGGGCTGCTGGTTCCAACCTTCGCTGGTTTCCAGAGCAAAGGGAGTCCAGACAAGGACTCAGCAGAAGGGTTCTGCCTTGCGCCCCAACGTGCTGAAGTGTTGTGAGGCTAGGCACCATCACTCACTGATGGCCTGATCCTTTCTTACCCAACACAAGGCCAAGGGGCCAAGTGGCTTCAGTTCTAAGCACACTCTGGGTTTGACAGCACGGAGACCTGGCTGGGAAGAGGAGCATCCCCTTTTCTCAGGCTGGCTGGTATTTCCTTGACACCCACCACCATCAAGGCCAGGCGTGCTCTGGGCTGACCCTGTCCCCTTTCACCTCTGATGGTCAGTCTGTGTCCTTCCTGCCACAAAGCCCCCCATCAGGCCACATAATACAGAGTCAGGATCTGTTGAAACATGTTTAAAATAGGGTTGATCACAACAGTCAGAACCCGCAGAAACAGGAGAGAAGAGGAGGGGAGCATGGCCGCCACCAGCCCCACCAGTCTCTGTGGCTCTCAGCCTGGCGGGTGATTTAGCTTCTGCTTCTTGACTCAGGTGGTGTGAGCTGGTCCCAAGCCCCGCTGGGGCCTGCTCTGCCTTGCCTTGCCTTGCAGGGGGCAGGGCTGCTCCACTTCCCCCTTGCCCCCACAGCGAGCACTGGTGGGCATCCTGTGAGGCCCAGCAGGGGCCACTCTGTCTCTCCTTCCTCCAGTCTCCATGGCTCAGGACCAGGCTAAGGGCAGAGGTAGATGGGGAGATGTGGGGGCCGCACAGGGCCCCAGTGGCAGTGAGGAGCTTGGGACCCTGAGGGGAGCATGCTGACTCCTTGCTGGAGAAAAGGCACCTAGATAGGGAAGCTAGGCCTGGGGGCCTCCCAGGGGGGCCATGGGGTGAGGTGGGGTAGGCTGAAAGAAGCAGGAAGCAGGGTGGTAAGCAAACCCCAATCCTGGTTCCCAAACCCCCACCCACTGAGGGAGAATGAAGGAATCCTGGAGCAGAGCCCTGCCCAGTAACCCTCTGCCTGAGCAAGATGGCCTCCTCCTCTTCCCACCCTTCCCCCCACCCAAGCCCAGGTTCAATCTCTTTCCCACCCTTCCCACGGCCCTGCTTAGGCCCTCTACGGAGGGAGAGAGTGGACAGTCAGAGGGGCCTCAGGCTGTCTTGGTGCCGGGGTCCACCTCCTTGTGGGCCCAGAGCTCCTTGTGCTGCTTCCGGCCGAAGCCCTCATCGTAGTTGCCTTTGCTCTTAAACAGCTGCTGAAAGTGGGGTTTGCAGTAAAATTCCCCATGCAGCGCCGCATAGCTGCCCAGGCTGCAGAAGCAGAACAACTGTGGTCAGGTCAGGTCAGGGCTGGAAGGTGAGGGCAGGGGCAGGGCAAGGGCGCACCTGAGCTTGGTGTGACAATGCTTGCAGCAGAAGCAAGAGTTGTGGAAAATGAGCTTGTCGGCCACCAGCCGCTCCATGGGGTACACAGTCTTCTGACAGGCAGAACAAGTCTCCTTCACCTGGGCCCGAAGACTGAAGGACTGTTTGGGGGAGAGACTCAGCCAGGGGCCCAAAGTGCACCCATCCCTTCCTTTCCCCCACACCCCACCCTCAGGGTCCTACCTTGGAACGCTGAACAGCGCTGCTGCTACCGCCGCCTTTGGCTTCCTGAGGGAGAGGGCCAGTCAGGGCAGGGTGAGCTGAGGGATGCCCCCGACTGCAGCTGAGGTCACCAGCCCAGATCCCACGGGCACTCAAGCGGGCGGGGGCAAAGGGTGGCAGGCAAACACTCTGCTCCTTACCCCTTTACCCCCAGGCCAGACCCCTGCCCAGGGACCCTCCCACCGGGCTGATCACCTACATGAGAGGGGGTGGCCTGGGCGGCTCCTGCAGCCTGGAACATGGCTCCTTGGAGGTGATGGAGGCCCCGGGTGGAGACGCGGCACCCGCTGGGTTCTGCAAGGGGAAGTCGGTCGGGAGGGCCCCACAAGCCCTTCCCCAGCCTGCAGGGTGGGGGTGGGGATGTTTACAGGCAAGGGGCTGGGGGGCTGTGGTTGGGACTTTCCCTAAGTCATTTCCTGTTGCTCTTGGTCTTGCCACTTCCGCCCTTCACCCACCTCCCCCTTCGCTCGCCCGCCCCCCACGCTGCTCCCCAAGGGGCAGAGGTCCCTGAGTGGAACCACGTGTCGGAGGAAGAACAGAGCGGGCTGCAGGGAGAGGCTGGGGCTGGGGAAGGGGCTCGGCGCAGTCGCCGTGAGCGCCCCACGGACCCGAACGCCTCCTGGGGTGAAGGGAGGTCAGGAGAGGGCGGGCCCGGCGGGACCGCGGCGAGAACCCGCTGCCCCTGCCTGACCCCGGCCCGACGCTGCCCAGCGAGGAGCCGAGGCACAGAGGCCGCGGGCGCCCCCAGCTCGGCCCCCCCAGCCCCTGGACAGCGCTCGCGCGCCGGGCCGCCCGCCCCGCGCGAATGGCCCGCTCCTCGGCCCCGGGACCCGCAGGGACCGGACCCCCGTGGGTCCAGCCCAGGGGGCGCAGCCCCGCCTCCGCCCGGAGGCTTGTCCCGGAGGGCGGCCGCTGGGCTCGGGGCCCCGGGCGGGAACGACGGGCCTCGGCGCTCGGCGTCGGGACCCCACGGGCGGCGGCCTCACGCCTGCAGCCCCCGCCTCGCGCTCGGGCTTGCAAGCCGGATGCAGGCCCCTCCCCCCGGCCCGCCCGCGGGTCTCACCGGGCCCCGGCCTGGGCCTCGGGGCGGGGGTCGGTCTCCGGGGGTGGCCTCGGGTGCGAGGAGGGCGCGGGCACGAGCTGCCGCCGCTGCCACTGGTCCCCGAGCGGCCGCCGCCACCGCCGCCTTATCTCGGCACCGCCCCCGCCGGCCCCCGCCTCGCGCCCGCCCATTGGCTCCGCCGCGCCCGGAGCCGCCTCCGGGGCTCGGCCGCCGCCGCCGCCCCCCTCTGCGCTTTGTCTTTCCCTCGCCCGTCGTCCCCCCGCCTTTGTCTGCCCCCCGCCCCGACCCGCGCTCCGGCGCTCCGTACCGCCCCTCGGGCCCCGCGCTCGTCGGCCTCCGGACATCGGCCGCCCCGTCGGCCCGCCCGGGACCGGAGCCGGAGGGCCCCGCACCGCATGCCTCGGGGCTGGGACAAGTTCAAGTTGAGACGCCGGGGTCGCAGGACAAATGATGCTCCCGGCGAGGCACTGCGGCAGAAAAGGATAACCGCGGTGTGCCTGGGTCTTTCGCTGCCTCAGTTTCCCCCGGTTGGCCCTCGCGGGCGAAGGCCCGACAAACGCCGTCCCCGCGCGGTGCTCCAGGGGCCCTGCAGCCTAATAGACCCCGCGGGGGCGGCCGCAGAGGCCGCCGGGGGTCCGCTCCCGGCCCCTACGCCCCCTACGCTCCCTCGGGCCGCGGACTCCTCCCGCCGCCAGGGGCCGCCTCGGCGCGCCCGCACGGCCGGCGGAGAAGGGCTGCGGCGGCCGGGCACGCGGTCCCGCCACGCCGGACGCTAGGCTGCGAGGCTCGGCCCGCGCTGCAGGGACCCCGGGGGCCCCGTGTTCAGCCAACTTCAGGCGCACGCTCACCTCGGGGCCGGCCTGCACGAGGGCTCTGGCGGAACCACCACCGCTCAGCTCCAGTCTCCTGCGACTCCCTGGACAAGGCCGGGGAAGCTGCTGCTCTTGGTGTCCCAGAGCACCTGCCCTCCCAGGGCCCGCGGTCCTAAGGCGTTGCTGTGGCCGGACTGTGTGAAATTAGTCATCCCCAAGCCCTGCAGGCACCGTTGCTTGCGAGCAGTTGAGGACACCCCCTTCAGGGCAAGAGGTTTCCACCCTTCAAACCAGCAAACCTCAGTGCCCTCACATCTATTTAACCCAAGGGAGCCAGGCCCGAAGATGTGAAGTGACTTGTTACAAGTAACCGCTAGGGCAGCGAGGCTGGAAGGAGAAGCCGGACCTCCTGCCCCAGCTCTTGACTCCCCGCCCCTCAGGCCAAGCCGGTTGCCAAGGCTCCAGAGCAATGCATGACAGGTCTGAGGCACACAGCAGGCAAGGGACCATCACTCACTGTGGGGCCAGAGCCTCAGCCGTTCAGGAACACAGGCGCAGCCTCCTGGACTGGCATCTGCTGGAAGGCTGGGGGCCCGATGGGCACCAGAGTCTGCATGGCTCTGCCTGACATCAGACTGGAAGCTGTCTTACAAAGAAGAGCCCTAAACATAGCTTGTTCCCACACTGTGGCAGGAATAGAACTTGTGGCTCCAGAGCACAGCCCACATGCTTGTCAGGGAACAGAGCAGCCCAGCGCCTCCAGGTCTGGCGGCGGAGGGAGGGAGGCAGCAGGCTCCCCAGCCTCCCGCTGCTCCTTGGCTCACTGAGCACACCCACGCTGCGCTTCACTTTCCTCCTCAGCCTCTTGTCTTAGAGAAAGATCTGTGTTTGGGTTGAGCTGTAGGCCTGAGGACTCCCTGGATGGGAGAAACTTCTAGAACTGTTTATATGCATCTTTCTGGGCAGTTTCCACACCTGTCATCAGATTCTCAAAGGGGGTTGCTATGGGGCAAAAAAAGTGAAGGCCTCAGGGGCACTAGGAGCAGGGCTGGGTCGGCAGCTGGGCACTGCCTGGCTGGCCGGGGGGCCCTGCCCAGGGTGGATCTGCCGGCTGAGGTGCAGGTAGCCACCCAGAACCAGCAGCAAGGGTGTTGACGATGAGCTGACAGCAAGGTGAAGAAAGCAGTTCAAAAGGAAAGAAAACAGGCTGATACGGTGTTAAGAAAAAGGAACTTGAGGTTTAAAGAAAAAAAATGAACCGGGCAGAGGGAAGGAGGAGGGCTGGAAATAAATGTGACCTGGACTTCTCACTCACTCCGACATTTCAGGTCTCCACTCCCCACCTCATGGTTGGTGTCTTTCCCTTTAACTCAGCCCCAAAGCGCCCAAAGGAAGGTTTTTTATTATTCTTTTTTAAACTGGTGTTACAATTTCTGAGACATAGGAAAGTAACGGCATTTGATGGTTCAAAGCAGCTTCAGGGAAGGAGGGGCACTTCCTTAATCTGACAGGCGAAGTGCCTGAGCAGGAGGCCCCTCACCCCTGAGGGACCAGCAGCGGGAGGGGCCGGGCTGGTGCCCGCGCAGGCCGAGGAGCACCTTGGAGGCGGCGAGGTTAGAGTCACCACCTGGCCAGGACTCACTGGCCGCCAGCCAGGAATGACAGCGGAGGGGGCAGGTCTGGTTCTTCGGTTGCTTGCTCTTTGGGTATTAGTGCCAATGGTAAGGGGACACCGCATGCCATGTTACTAAACAAAACCCTCCCCACTCCTGTCCTGCCAAAGGTGAGCCTCTTCTGCCTGGATTCCTAGTGGCCCAGAAGTGGTCCTGGCAGACCCAGGGGCTGGTCTCTGGCATCTAGACCTTTGCAGCCCCAAAGCAGTTTGATGGCCATAGGCTAAAATTAAGTTAAAATTTTTGATAGTTGAGACAAGTCTATTATGGGTTTTAAAAGAAATCGGTGTGTGGTGAGGCTATCTAATGAAAGAGGTCACTGCTGCGCTTCCACAGGTACTCCTGGGACCACTCTTGGATGGCGGAACCAGGGTGGAATGACTCATGTCTGAGCATATATGGCCAACACACAACAATGCCACTCTCCAATGGATTCTCTGAAAATTTTAACTTGTTCTGGCAATGAAACTAAGGACTTAAGCCCACAGGCTGGGCAAGACATTATGGCCCTTGGAGAAAGCACCAGAGCAGCTGGCAGGAGGCAGTAAGATGGACCCTCAGTGGGAAAGGAATGAGCTACAGCGATGACCTATGGGAAGGTTTCAGGTGTCAGGGCCCAAGCGCTAAGAAGGATCAGGATGGACTGCCTCAGCCTGAACCTGGTGCTTAAAAAGAAAAAATACCCTTGTCTTCAATTATTAGGGGAGGTCTGAGGGGAGGAGGGACAGGTTGCTTATTGCCTGCCCCTCGATGGAACTATAGGATCTGAGAGCAGAGGGAAAGAATGGGATTACGCTGCTAGGAGAGCAAGAGTGGGAAGAGGAAGTCACACAGTTCCCTGGGCTGAGGAGTCAAACCCTGGGCTTGGACTTCAGCCCCCAGGGCCAGAACAGCATCTCTTCCTTCTGAAGAGGTCACCTGAGCTGCAGAATTGGGAATGTCAGCTTTCTGGCCCCTCCCGATCCAGGGTTGTTGGGATTCCCTTTGTGTCTCAACAGCCTTGGAGTAGTAAAGAAAAGTTTCTCTCCAGAATTTCTTTTCCAGTCAGTAAGCAGGTAACTCTCTTGGCAGAAATGTCCTTTCTTCCCAGTCTGCACCCAGGAGGGTGGGAATGTGGCCAGCCCTCAGGCAGGGCCCCTGGAGACTCATATAGCCCGGGATGGAGAAGGTGCACACTCTTCAGAGGTCAGAACTCCCAGTCGTCCACCTCCAGCTCTTCCAGGTTTGATACCAGGCCAAAGATTCCACTGTGATCCTGAGACTGGCTGCCCTCAAAACTGGTGATGGGGGTGACAGGACGAAGTAACTCAGGCAAAGCCTCTGAGGCACGTCGCTTGATCTGGAGGAGGAGAGAGAGTTGGGGGTGGATCCTGTTGTTCTGGGTCCCAGGACACCATGGGGCAAGGAACCATGGTGCCACGACAGATGGGCTGTTGGAGCCAAGAGTCTCTACGATAGGAAGGAGCAGCACCTTTAAGTGGCTTCAGAAACATGGTCATGTCTCTAATTTCAAAGGGAGAAGGAGAGAATATCCAAAAACCCCAAGAGAAAAACAGGGAGGCTCAGGAAAGTGCTACTGTACCTGCTTGAAGAAAGAATGGTTCAGGAGGGTGCTGGCACTTGGTCTGTAGAGAAGGGGAGAAGAGAACAGCATGATTCCCATGCCTCAGATTTCCAAAATTCTGCTGCTTCTACCTTACCCTCTACACCCCTCTACTTCCTCCCTCAGCTCACCAAGAAACAGCAGCCAGAGCTACTCAGGCTGGCTTCTTAGCAAACCCTTGTGCTGATCCCTCTTGCTGTGGGGCTCCAGACTCCTCCAGGGAACTGAGGCTTTTACAGGGCAGAGGCAGCCTCTCAAACCCTGCCCTAAATTCCAAGCCCCTCCTGCTCTCCGGGAAGCCTACTCCAAGCCCAGTGGAAATACCTGACTTCCGGGTTGCGCTGCAGGCACTGCTCCACAAAGTGGTGGAAGTGGGGGGAAAAGGTGCGGTGATAGGGGTGGGATGGCGAGTCACCATTGGAGGTCCTGGGGGTGCTGGTGGCCAGGCTCTCACTCAGGCCAGAGTTGGCCACCGAGCGTGAGGTGCTCATGGTCAGCTCCTCAGCGGGGATGGTGCTGGTGTCCAACAGGCAGGGCACCGTGCCATTCAGTTTCTCCAGCAGCATCTGGGAGGACAGAGCAGCCAGGACCTTGGCTGGAGGGGCCCCTGGAAGGCCTACAGAGCTTCCTCATAAATACACTTTTCCCAACATACAAATGTGACTTGGGGGGGAAGAGAGAAGAGATGGACGTGGAATAAGTCTAACTTTTCCAAAGGAATGCTGGCCACTGGCTTGGCAGCCACACCCTAGCTAGGCCAAATTGAAGAGGAGGAGAGGGACTACAGAACCGTAGCCCCTTCACCACAGCCGGAAGGAAGAGGCTCGCAGTCCCCCTTTATAAGCATCAGATCCTTTTAACTGTAGAGCCCTCACCCTGGGTGAAGGCAGCAGCCAGGTCATTTTCTTTGAAGTCCAGCCCGTTTGCCATGCCCAGGTGGGTCCACTGGGGTCCATTCCACAGTGCCTGTAGTGCCACGTCCTGGGTTGTTGCTGTAGCGGCCGGGCAGGAGCAGTGCACCCAGGGGCAGGCCAAGCTTGGGCAGCTCTTCCAAAGTCCTCAGACTCAGCTCAGGTAAAACCAGCCCCACCTTGGGGACCGCTGTCCTCATGAACATGAGCTGTCCGTGCCAGGGACCTGGAAACCTCTCTAAAGCTGCGCTGTCTAATATGGTAGCTACTAGCCACATGTAGCTAGTCATATTTAAATTAATTTAAATTTGGTTTGAAATTCAATTCCTCAGTCTCACTGGCCACATTTTAAATGCTCAATAGCCACAGGTGGCTAGCGGCTACAATATTGGACATCGCAGACACAGAACATTTCCATCATCTCAGAAAGGTCTATCGAACAGTGCTGTTTCTGGATCTGTACCTCTTGTTCACCTTAAATAGCCTTTTAACTCTTCCCCGAGCATCTTTCTGTTACTGTCTCACTTAGATTTTCTAGATTCTCTACCGACATTTTCACACCCTTCTAACCAGTCTCCTAGATCTAACCCATCTGCTTGAGTGATCCTTCTAAAACATCTAGCTGTTGCTATCACTCCTGTGCTTAAATGCCTTCAGCAATTCTCCACATGCTTTGGGACAGGAACCAAAGCATACACATGGCATACAAAGTCCCTCATGATCTGCCCTTGCTTCCTTCTCCAGCCTACCACCCAGAAGCACCAGTACTTCAGCCATTTACAACTACTTGCTGTTCCCCGGATCCTGTTCTTTCTTGACTTTGGGTCTTTTCACATGCTATTCCTTCTGCCTAAAAGTTTTCTTCTAGTCCCCATTCTTCACAGTTAATTCCTATTTGCCTTCAAGACTTAAGTGTCACCTCCTGCCAGCAGCCTCCCTGGGCCTCCTGCTCTACAGAGCTCTCCTTTGCCTATTCTCTGGCTGCCCCTCTCCCCACAGGGCAAGCAGTCTTTGGGTTCAAGGGAGAGGCTCACTCAGAGCCTATACCCCCGCATGCCCCCACCTCCCAATTCTAGATCATGCTCCAGGTACTTGGGACCCAGGTAATCCTTGCCTAAATGACCTAAATCTACTTCCTGGACTTGAGAAGGCCTGGATAAGCCTCTTCCCTGGGTCTGTCTCCCAAGGGTAGACTATCCCACCGGCTGTGTATGCCTAGAAGTGGCCAAAGGGCAGTCATCGTAAGGGGCGTGAACAGCAGTTGAACTTGCAGGCTGGAGCTTCCAAAGGGATTAACTGGAACGTGGTAGCACAGAACCTGAGAAGTCTGAGAATTCTAAATTAGAATGCTTCCAGGTATATTTATCAAGGTAGGAGGATAGAATTGTTTTTATAAATTTATAAAAATATGTTAGCTTGAGGTACATGTTTTCTATAGACACAGTGTATGCAGCCCTCCGTGTGCACTCCTGCCCTGGACTGTGCAATTGTTAGCAGTGGGCCTGCTCCTGAGTTCCCCTCCCCTGGGCTCCATGACCACAGTAGTTATGACACAGAGAAGTAACAGAGTTACACAACTATCTCCCCCACGGGGTGGGGCTCTTGAAGGAAAGGACTGTGTCTTTCATCTTAGCATCCCTGGCTGGTGTCCTGAGTGTGGCAAGTACTCAACAAGCATTTGTGGAAAGCAGATAGGCAGGCATGCACGAAGGAAACCACTGAGCTGCAGGCTCACCTGGGTGGCAGGCATATCCTTAAAGGGGACGTGGCCATTGGCCAGCTCACAGGCTGTGATTCCCACACTGTAGATGTCAGATTTGGCATCATAACCCTGAAGATTCTAAGTCAGGAGAGAAAAGTCACAGATCACTCCATTTGTAGCCTTGGTTGTGGTTCTTAGAAAAAGGAGGTAGAGCAAAAACTGAGAGGAAAAGAATGCCTGTCCCCAAATCAGGACCAGCTGCTAAGACTTTCCTTGCCCATGCTACTGAAAAGCAGCTGCTATATTAAAAGGAATGAATGTTTGGTGATGCTATGTACAAGCAGGATGAAGTGCAGGGCCCCGTGCTCCTGCTTAGCATGTGCTGCAAAACAATGTTTCAGTCAATGATGGACTGCATGTACAACAGAGGTCCCATAAGATTAGTACCATACAGCCTAGGTGTGTAGTAGGCTGTACCATCTAGGTTTGTGTAAGTGCACTCCGATGTTTACACAACAAGGAAATCGCCTAATGATGCATTTCTCAGAACGTATCCCTGTCATTCAGTGATGCGTGACTGCACAGGGATGCAGAGAGCACCAATGTTTCCAAAATGCTTGCTCTTCCCATAAGATGGGAAGATCTCTGAAGGCATCAGGTACAGTTTGGGACCCACAGAGAGGAAACTACATCATCTGTAAAGGGCACATAATGCTCGTGCCAAAAGGCCTCTCAGGTCTACCTGACAACAGGGAACCCCTCCCTCCACTCAGAAGCAAAGAGCACCTCCCATCCCGGGAAATTCCTCAAGGCTTCCCTGGGAAATCATGAGTTGGTGGGGGATGGGGGTTCTTCGGGACTCAGTACACAGACCTGCTGGAGGACTTCCGGGCTGAGCCAAGGCAGAACCTTGATACTGTATTTGGGAAAATCGTGCACCACACGCTGCCGCTGCCCATGGCTGATCATGCTGAGGTTGCTGCGTAGACCAGACAGGTAGACCTTCCCATCCGCGGAGATCAGAATGTGGCTTGCTTTGACACTCCTGTGGGGGAAGGTGGGCAGGGGATGGGTGTCATGGGGCAGCAGAAACCCCTCACACCACAAACCTGTGGCCTTCACACACTAGATCCAGTCAGCTCTGTCCCTGTCAGCGTGTTTGTGTGTGTGTGTGTATTATGTTTGTATATATACATACTATACATAAACACATATTTTTATGAAAAATTTCAAACATACACAAAAGAGAAGACAGCATGACTTCATTTACATATCACCAGATTTTAAAACTTATTTACATTTTGTTCAAGTTCTCTTTTATGCTCAGACACCACTGCTTCCCCCACCATCCACTGCTTTGACTCTGCACTTTTTGTTGGCAGGTGTTCTTGTAATGTGCATCACTGTTTGTATGCAGATCTTTTCAGTTCACCTAACGGTACTGTGCTATGTGCCCCATTCTTCCTTTTTCTCTCAGTGCTGTATTTTCGAGATCCACCTATGTTGCCATCTGTACACATCTAACCTTTGCTTCTAAATGCCACCTGTACTCTGGGGTGGCATCTAACAGCTACTCATCCACTCACACTGCCTCCAACCATGACGAATATGAACAACGACATCCATATACATGTGCCCTGATGTGCCCATGTGAGGGTCTCCGGGGTGTACATCCAGACGCAGCATTGACGGTCCCGGTTCCGAGTGACCCTGGCCTGAGTCAAGCCACCTTCCACCACTGGGACTGGAGATCTCACCTCCTCACCACACTGGGCCTCACCCAACCTCCGAATTACATCAGTCTTAGGTGTATAAAGTGACATCCTCCTGTTTTAATTTGCTTTTCTAATCATTGCTAGATTTGAGTGTCTGTTTACACACTTGTTAATCTTTTGGGTTTCCTCTTTTATAAACTTCAAATCCTTTGCTCATTTTTCTATTGCTTTGCTATCCTTTTCTTGTTGAATCACAAGATTACCTTCTTACTAATTTCCTGTGTGTTTTAGACAAAGCTAACATCTTCCACACTGTCACCCACTCCTTGTTCATGGTGTCCTTTATTGGAGAGAAATCTTTAATCTTGATATAATAAAATCCATCAATTCTTTGTCTTATGTTTTGTGCTTTTAAAACATTTAGAAGTTCTTCTGTGCCTCAGGTCACAAAAATATTTCCTCGCCTCTCCTTCTATCTCAGCCTGTAGTTTTACATCTGACATGTGGGCCTGCAGTCCATCTGAAGTGCTCCTTTGTATGTGGAGTTAGGCAGGGATTCGCTTTTATCATCTTCCCTACAGTGAGTGGGTTGCTTTTCCTGACAGCAACTGCTAAGGAATCTGTCTTTTCCCAGCCTCTCAGTATAGGGTTGACTCTGGGGCACACAGCGTTTGGGTGTGTGCCAGTTTGGGTGCCCCAAGGAAGGAGAGAAGGGTGGGGGTACAGAAAGGCCCATGTTAGATGTTCCTCTCACACAACACTCAGGACCAAGCTGCTCAATAAAGAGAAAGTCAGCAGCTTCAGCACTGACAGGCTAAATGCTCTGCCTACCACGTGAGAGACCAGGGCAGAGTCCCGAGCCTGGATTGGAACTCTGGCTTCACTAACTTCCGTGAACCTTCAACTGTTTACTTGAGGGCTCATGGGCACGGATCCCCACTCTTGTAAGCGGTAACGCGCCTAAGAATGCACCTGTGTACATATCCCATGTGGTGGATGTAGTCTAGGGCCTTGAGGACCCCCTGCAGGATGTAAGCAATCGCCAGTTCGTTCATGCCATCCATGAAGTGAGTACAGATGAGATCCTTTGCAGAACCTGAAGAAAAGAATCGTGGGGAGATAGGGAAGGGTAACAGAGAAGGAAAACAGCACATAAGCCAGCTGACAAGAGTTCTTAGAATCCCTCTCTGCCAGTACCCGTTTCCCACTCACCATAAGCCATGAATGGTGTGACAACCCACAGCTCGTTGTCTGCAATGAAGGTGGCTCGATATGGCAGGATATTGGGATGACTGAAGAGTTTAGAGACATGAAGCTCCCCCTAAAAGCAATGGTAAGCTGAAGTCAGAATAAAGGGGCACGGAAGAATGATGCTCAACATGAAGGTGGCAGCAGGAATAACATGGGAACCTAGCACTTTCTGGGTGCTCTTCTCCGATTCCTGGGAGCAGCCTAAGCAGGAGCCTTCCAATACGAGAGAAACTAGGCTCTGCTGTCTCTGCAGGGAAGCCATCACTGCTTTGCCAGCTTCCGCCTGTTGGGCTCTGCCAGCCAATCCTGAAGAGCCTCAAGAAACAATTCCCCGCCGACAGGGAAACTGCTAACAACACAGCAGAGGGTCCCAGTTCGCTACCTCAGAGATGATGAAAACAAACTGTTGACCGAAGACTTAGGAAGTTGTAAGCTTAGCTCAACTTCAAGGGCCAAGGCACAGAACTCCTCTTTAACATAAGAAAACAAAAACTGTTTTCCTATTACACAGGAGATTGTTGTAGTCAATAGAAACAAGGAAAGAAAGTATTAAAGAACAAATGATAACTTTTCAACATTAGAAGATATTTCTCCTGAAACCTCAGATTGAGAGACCCCTTCCTCAGGAACAGCTATGGAAAGTATAAGACCTATGAAATTTGAAAATAAATTTGGACAAAAGATGTGAAGAAAAAATTGGACAAAAGAACTGCAGAAACTCCAGGATCCCGGCCTCCAGGACATGAGCTAAGGCCAAGTAGGCAGTACCTTCTACCTGTCCGACGGTCTAGAGAATAGAGAAAAGAATCATCAAGTCCAAGATGCTCTAGAACAAACTCAGATATGTTTTTTCTCAAATAACTAAGCTGGGACTGACTTTCTGTTCCATCTTCAGACCCACAAAACTACTCCAAACACATGAACTGGTATTAGAGCACCAGTGGATGAGCATGAATTCAGAACAACACCATAAATGAAGAAGGGGGAGGGTCCAACTAACTATACTGAAAACACACTGACCCACGCCCTAACTCTAAGGAGTTCCCAGCACAAGCTTTCAACAGTGAAGGAGAATTCAGTCCCCAGTCAGTTACTAGACCCGTGCTCGCTCCATTTAACGAGAGGGCAGCCACCTGCTTCTCCAGCAGAAAGGAACCTCAGGCAAACAGGACACTAAGAGCTGGAAGATGGCCGCCCATGGCAGGGCAGGCTGCCTGCATCTGGAACAGGACAGCCTGAGTCTGAATCCTGCCTCTGCAGGACCATGTGTGACCACCAGCAAGTCACTTAGCCTCTCTGAATAATAAATAAATGAATAAATGAGCCACGAAGGAGTCTTTGGAGAAGGAGAGGGGAATACAAATTGGGCTGAGCAGCATTATAGAACTCTTAGTGCCAAATGCCCGAGATTCTTCACTGGGAGCTGCCATAATTTCTTGGTTTGGTCTACCTTCATTTCCTGCCAGCTACTTTCAGAAGACAGATCTAAGAGGTGCCTGTAATTACTACTGGAACTAAGAGCCCACCCTGCAAGTGTCGCATTCACATTTTATTACCTGCAAATACATCACCATCTCATTGGAACAAGCTTCTAGGTTAATCCTTCGTACCGTCACATACTCTCCCATTGGTTTGTACCTTGCCAGATTCACTGTCATCAGATCCTCAAATCCTTTGCCTAAAAGAAAAGAGGGATGCTATAAACAAGGACAGTAGCAACAAAGGTTTTCATTTTCCTTAAAGAGACTTGATTTAAAAAGAAAGTTCAAATTAAAACTTTCACTACTGTTACTTTTATGGCTGACAATTCTTGATTTTTCTCTTATCAGTGCCTTCTCAGTCAACCACTCTGACTGACTGTGGCTCAGGACACCAGAAATATACAGCCCAAAAGAAAAAATTGCAAAGGAGCTTCTCTCCTGGTAACATGATCTCTTTTCCCATACTTGAAAAAAGAAAACCAAACAGGACCCGCAAAACCCAGTTTTGTCACCACGAATTCTGCTAACTGGCTGAGAGCCTCTGGCACACATTTATCTAGGGATGCTGAGAAGGCTGCAGCAGTCCCCTGAAACATGAAAGCAATGACAGTTCTGGACATTACCTATAACGGTGAGTAGCTCATAACACCCTCCCTCTGGCAGAAAGCTACTCATGATCTCCTGTTTAGAGAAGGATGCTATCGACTCTGAGCTCGCCTCATTGGTCTAAAGAAAAAGAAAAATACGTTAATAAGAAAAATTGGAGGTGGGACAGGAGTGGGGAGGTGGTAATTCACACCCACAAGGAGACTGGTCTCTAAACAAATATACAAATTCTGACTCTGGGGCAAAGTAGTAGTGCCAGAACGACTTGATGAGAAATGCAAAGTAAAACACCAGATGTCCAATGTAGTAAGCAGCACTAATATCAGAGCAAGCGTTAGAGCTATCTACCAATGGGAATGCGGGACAAGGGCCAGTTCCAGTCAACTGCTGATCTGCTTGTCCTTTCTAACAACCGATTCATTTGCTAAAAATTATGAAATTCTTAGTTGGGGAAAGGATGTCTGGAGAAAAGTAAGTTTAGAAAAGAGAAGGGGGATGGAGAGCGGGGGGTGCGGGGAGTGTCTCTTGAATCTCCTACTACATTAGGGTCCTATTTTTAAGGTCCTAACTACAAGACCCCAAAGGTCAAATGCTGAATCTTGCTATAGGGAAAATATGGCTATAAGAAGCCCCTCTTTAGCAAACCAAGAACTCAGAGCAATCATTCCTTGACATTTCCAAGTGAAGCAAGAATACAGCCAACACACTAGATTGCAGGCAAGGAACAGAGCTGTCACATCTCAGCCATCATCCCAGGCAGCAGAAGTAACCTGCTCCCTCATTCCTGCCCACTCATGCTGCAAACGAAGCTGGACCCCAGTCATTTAGGATGTGAGCATCACCCCTCCGGCCTTTGAGGTCCTGAAGGAAAGTGCCCAGCAAAATACATGGCAGACCAACAGCTCTTCCTTCAGCTCACTAGGCTCAGTTTCCTTCTTCCAGACCCAAATGCATCTGTATGATTTAGAGACTGTGAGTGTTCTTCTTTCCTTTGGATCCTCTTTAGATGTGTGTCTAACTGAAATAGAAAACCCTAGGCTAGTGCGTATTTCATATGCTGCGTTCATAAACCAGACCTCTAGTCAGGAAAAGGTCCTTGTGAATGGATCAAAGGCTCTTGGCTCAGCACCAGCCAGAGAGCGTGAGTTGAGAATGTTCTGATGGTGGTACGACCTTGTTGGGGGTCCCTGACCTTTCAAGCACATCTGATTTCAAGAGCTGATGCTGTCAATGGGGAAAGAAACCAAGTGGGGTTCTGTCTTCCACACCACTTACACTGACAATAAGAGAAACCCAGTCAAGCAAAATTGAGCCCTGCCAGCAAATTACATTTCTAATTTAATCAATTGTTATATGTCTAAGATTCATCATATCGTTGTATTTAGTCATGTTGTATAATATTCATCTGTTCTCGTTGATCCATCTTTTCCCCAACACTTGGTATATTCAGACTTAATTTTTGCCAACCTCATTGTGGGTTTCACTTACACTTCCTTGGCTACCAATGAAGATGAGCATCTTTTCATGTATTTACTGGCCATGGGGCTTTTCTCCAAGGTGAAAATGCCTCTTTCTGTCTCTTGTCCATTTTTCTACTGGGTTGTTTTCTACTGAGTTGTCTTTTTTTTTTTTTTAAGAAGATGCCTTTTTTTTTTTTTAAGATTTTATTTTTTTCCTTTTTCTCCCCAAAGCCCCCTGGTACATAGTTGTATATTCTTCGTTGTGGGTCCTTCTAGTTGTGGCATGTGGGATGCTGCCTCAGCGTGGTTTGATGAGCAGTGCCATGTCCGCGCCCAGGATTCAAACCAACGAAACACTGGGCCGCCTGCAGCAGGGCACGCGAACCTAACCACTCGGCCACTGGGCCAGCCCCTACTGAGTTGTTTTAATGCAGGATTTTCCCAAACTAGGCCCCATGGAACATTAATCCTGGCAGTTCATGCATGAAAAAACTTTACACATCCAATTAAGTTAGAAAATGCAGCATACTCTCTTTCATGGAGAATCATAAGGTGTACTCACATATTAAAGGCTTTAGGAAGTTCTGTAGTAAGGAAACTTGTTTAACTTTGTTTAACCTAGCATTTCCCAAAGATACTAGTCCAGGGAACCCTTTTGCGCCTAATATCCATTAAATTTTGGGGAAGATAATTTGGGAAAGGCTATTTTAAGTAAAACATGATATCATGCAAAGACTATGGGCTTAGGGGCCAGTGAGAGGCAGAATTTTTTTTTTTTTGGTGAGGAAGAGTGTCACTGAGCCAATCTTCCTCTTTTTCCTTGAGGAAGATGGTTGCTGAGCTAACATCTGTGCCAATCTTCCTCTATTTTTTTTGTATGTGGGACACTGCCACAGCATGGCTTGATGAGTGGTGTGTAGGTCCGTGCCCAGGATCCAAAGCCACAAATGCTGGACCACCAAAGTGGAGTGCACGAACTTAACCACTACACCACTGGGCCAGCCCGAGAGGCAGAACTTGAACTCAGGTCTATCACTTGTTCTGTGACCCTGGGCAAATCAGTCTAATCTCTTGGGATTTCCATTATCTCAGCAGTGGAATAATTCTCACTTCACAGGGCTGTTGTGACAAATAAGAGAAAAACACCACGTAAAGAGCTGAACGCTCCCTGGTGTACCACAGGTATTTCCCTCTTTTGCTATCTACTTTTTGGTCACTCTCCTGCTCAATAAAGATAGAACAGAGAAAATGCAGAAAACAGAGAATCCTCGGTAGAGCTCGATCGATAGTTAAGGTTGGTTTGATTTTGTTTGTTTACACTTATCTGTGTTTTCAAATGCTCTGAAAACAAATTCTAGGATCATTTAATAGCCACTGTAGCTTCTTGAAACTCTCTTGTCTTCAGAACAATCTTAAGATACTGGTGACTACATGCCAGGTACCTCACACAGGTGAGACAGAGACACAACCAAAGGACAAAATGGAGTAGCAATTCGAGCAAAATGCTCAAACCAAGAGCTCTGACATGGTGTCTCCCCATTTGTTTAGAACTTACAAGCTGCGGGCTAAGTTAATCTTGAGGAGTCCCATTTTCTTAACCTTATACCTCTAACTCCCTGCATATTCTTTTTTTTTTTTTTAAAGATTTTATTTTTTCCTTTTTCTCCCCAAAGCCCCCTGGTACATAGTTGTGTATTCTTCGTTGTGGGTTCTTCTAGCTGTGGCATGTGGGACACTGCCTCAGCGTGGTCTGATGAGCAGTGCCATGTCCGCGCCCAGGATTCGAACCAACGAAACACTGGGCCACCTGCAGTGGAGCGCGCGAACTTAACCACTCGGCCACGGGGCCAGCCCCACTCCCTGCATATTCTTGCTCTGTGCATCCTGTTTTCCCAGGTATCAATCTGCTCCTAAATAAAATCAGTGTTACCAGTTAACACAAAACTCAGAGGTTTGCTTGCAGCCCCAAGTCCCTCCTCGGGCCTGTGAGTACCCACCTGCTTCAGCCCCTGCCTCCTCCTGTGATTCCGTCCCACACTACACTCCCCTGACTCGCTCCCTGACCCACACAAACAAGCGTGCTCCAGGCTGAGGAAACCCACCTTAGCGGTTCCTTTGTTTGGAACACCCCTGCCCTCCTCCTTCCCTGCCCCTGCCATTTTCTCATCGCTGCCTCCTCCTTATCACTGAGGTCTCAGCGTAAATGTCATCTATTCATTGAAGACTGTCTAGAAAGGAAAATAGGCTCCTAGTCACTTAATTATATCATCTTGCTTTCCTTTATTCCCAGTAGTTATCACTGCTGTTTATTTATTTATTGCCTGTCTCCTGTACCAGAAGGCAAGTTCCATGAGGGCAGGGACCTTATCTGTCTTGCTCACTGATGTATTCCCCAATGCCTGCAACAATGCTGGCACATACTTAAAGAAAAATCATTAAAGCAAAGTTTGATCTGGGGAGGTTTTCTGTCTATGACTTTGTCATTCCCACGGGCTGAAGAGAAGAGTAGGGTAAATGGACCAGCCAGTTCCACTGGAGACAGGGTTCAATATAGTATAATGACCTATACTGGAAATGCCAGCCTTCACACAACACATTCATTAGATCCCCTGTTACTGGGGGCCCTTTGTAGATCAGACTGATACCCACATGTGAGAAAGTACTGCATTTTTTAGCAGGTAACAATATGGCCCCAATGACAACAAATCTAGAACTACTTTGCATTTGAAGGTTTTCTTGCCTCTGATCTCCAGGCAAATTCCTTAACATTTCTCTCATTTGAAAAAGAGGAGGACTATGAAGGATAACTGAGTCCTGAGATGAAAAACATTTATTATATGCACTTTAAATAATTCCCTTTGGAAAAACTACAGATAGATACCTTTTAAATTACCCATCTCCCTCTTCCTTGCTAGGAGTGCATGTGAGACATATTGTCTACAAGGCTACATGGTAAAGACACACTCTTGTTGAGCCTAGGCAGGGAATGACTCATTAACCTACTGACGTGAGTAGTTAGTAACTTGAAAATATTCCTACTATCTTTGTTGACTACAGAAAACTACTCAAAAGTGTTAGTTTTAGAAAATAAAGCTCTTTAGGTAACTGGGAATATGAGTTCCTGGGTGGTCTGGAATTCACGAGATGAACTAGCTTAGTGGTTGCCCTGCGTCCTCTACTCCCTGTCCCCAGCTTACTGGAAATGCTCCGCAAATGGAGGCTTTCTCCTTTGTGGACAATCTATAGGTCTGAACTCAGAGGGAAACTGACCTTTATTGAGGAAAACAAACAAACAAACAAAGGCAATATTTTAAAAGGAAGAGGTCTGGTCTGGTATTACCACCGGGAAGGCAGGTTAGTTCATTATGTTGTTTCAGATTTAGAAAAGGTCAAATTCAGATGAAAAGGACGAAATATTCAGTCCATTCTCTTTAAACACAGCATCACATAGTTTTATTAGTATCATGTATAATCTCAAATTGCCTAGAGAAAGAAACTAATTCTATCAAAGTCTTTTCGTAGTTTCCCCTACCATGAAAAGCATTTTATTCATTTTGAAGCATTTGTAGCATTCATAAGCTACTGATATCCAGAAATCACTATAAAATAACTTTGTTTAAAGAGTTCATAAAACAAAATACAATAAAGCACACAAAGACAAAATTTATGAAATGCTACCAAATAAACACATTCAACCTGGCACAGGTTTCACACAGGATAACTTTTGGTATAACACTGGCAGCTGTAAAAATATAGAAATTATATATAATAGGCATTGTATTCTGGAAAAATACCTAACTGATCCTATAGGAAACATTTTTGGTCTCCCGACTGGAAAATATTTGGATCTGATAGACAGGTGCTCCGGACTAGCAGACCAAATAAGCATAGCCAAAACTTTACTGAAAGAGGAATTCTGCATCAACATCACCATCTTTCACTCAGCCTTGGGGCTGCCTGCAAAACGTGCAGACATCTGTCATCTGAAGGGTAAGAAGTCTATTTGGAAAAGAGCTCTTATCCGCTTGCTTTCTGAGATACTGATTCATACTATCAAAAATAGCTTGGTACACTGTGCACATCTGGTATTATTTACTCAGGTAAAATAAACTAGAAGAGTAGGAAGCAGGGCAAGAATCTTACAACTTTTGCCAATAAAAATACATTTTCTGTTTTGTACTTTGTAGTTTTGGGTTTTGTTTTTTAAGGTAGGAGATTTGAGATCCTGCCTTATAATCTAGACAGAGATCTCTATTATCTCTGTGGACTGAAATCTATTATGAATAGACTAAGGATGGAAAATTTAGTACCACTAGACACTAAAAGACAACCACATTTAGACTGTTGACACCTTCTTTTTTTGGAGGGGGTGGTGGGTGATTGGTGGGGTTGGAGAGGCGAGAAGACTTTAATCTTGGAGAGAGAAACAAAAGTCTTGAGATGTTTTCAAAGTACACATCAGAAGCTTTCCAGGGTGAAACCTGAATCTCCACACTAAAAGAATTACACTACAAATAAAGCTCAATGACAGATAAACAGAAGCACAAATGAAAAGCCAACAAAACACACAAACTTCCACAAGAAGTCATCTCCATGCAACAGCCATAGTGCTAAAGCCTAGAAAGTCACTTACTTTTCTCCGAGTGTCACCCGGAGGCTGCTCTGGAGTAGAGAAATTGATTGTTGGCATTTTGTTTTTTAGCAGAAGACATACCCACATTCAGGACAGCAATTACTGCACTTAGGACTACATTTATTAATAGAAACCACTTAAGAGTCATTACAGCAAAAAGTGACTGCAGTGCTACACATAAACACACACACACAGATCCACAGTAGAAATGCTGCAGCTAGATGAGGTTTTAAACATGAATCTATGGCTCTTCAAAACTTGGCAAGGCCAATATTCTATGGCTACTGTCTACTGAATATGATTCAACTGGTATAATTCTGGTCATACATTTACTTTTCATCAGCACACAATGTTATTTTCAATAGGCTGCTTTCAGAGTCTTACGTTGTGAACAAAAAACTCATTATAAAGTTATAGAGATGGCTGGCTATTTCCCGGGGAGTGCAGAGACTAGAAAAGAGGATTTTTAAAAAAAAGGGCCAAAAATGTTTTAATACAGCAACTTGCATATGTGGGACCATTACCCAATTTGATTCTCCAGTCAGATACATTCTATTCTGAATACAAATAAAGCAAGGGCTTTTTTGGCCCTCTGCTACTCTTGGTGAAAACAAATAAAGCCAAGGACAACTAAAATAACTTTCTGCTCTTAAATCAGACAAATTCTGTATCTGTGCTTTTGATTTTCTCCATTCTGTAAAAGTCACAAAAAATCATCAAAGTAGATCTTTAACCGTAAAGTATTGGAATGATCACACATTCCCAAATATGTTAAATTAGAAATTAGAGCATCCAACTGTATTGCTGGAGAAGACTGGCTACAGGGTAAATTAGCCATAATTTATCAAAATAAGATTTCTTTTTGTTTGCCTTGGACATCAGTTCTCTGGTACACAAATGGCAGGAGCAGTTGCTTAAGACAGTCTGTCGAGGTAAGAAGCCAGGTGAATGGATTAAAGGAAATCAAACCCAATCTTCCAGAGTAGAAGGCAAATTCCAAGTTGTATAGAACTTGATAACATACACTTCATCAAGCTGTTGAACAGTGTACAGAACAAGCTCTTCACCCCCCTCAGATCAGAGACTAGGGAACTGTCAAAAGACAGCCAGTGATCCTATCCTCAAGACACTGAAACCAAAATCCATTAATTCAATTCACAGATATCAGAAGATTTCTAATTAATTAACTGTAAACTGGACTTCCAACTCAATTTCCATCAATGCCAACGTTGAAACCATTGTATTCCCCTCAATGATGGGAAGAAAGTAAGAAGAGGGCCAGGATATAGTCCTTTTTTATTCCATTAGCCTTTGCTTTACCGTGAAGCTAACTTTTATTCTTTATAATGTTTTAACTCATCATTTTTCTAAACTCACATTTGTCTAGTCTAAAACACAATACTTTGACAAAATTCATGAATACTACTACTCCAGACGTTCTTTGAGAGGCATTAGGGAAAATAAATGAATAGGTACTACCTAGTAACTAACAAGTTTGAGCTTTCACTTTCTTAAGCCTATTTGGGGGTATTGTAGATCAGCCAAGCAATACACTCAAACTGATAACCTGTTTCTTTAGCTATAGGAGTTGAAGAGAGTATCTTGGTGTTCAGACACAAAGAATGGGGTTCGACTACTATTATTTTTATAGAAAGGAATTTTCTTTGCCTTAAGATCACAGCTCCCCAAAAGGCTCAATTTGAAATTACCTAAAGGGGAACACCTGAGCCTGTTAAATCTCAACGTTGCAAACCTACTTCACTTCTGAAATCAACATTTAGATCTTACAATAGAAAGTTAATATTTTTGTCCTGGCAGATTTTTCCTTAGTTCTCTTCTCTTTAAGTCTCATAATTTCTACCATAAAAAGATGAGTCAACTAGATTGATCAGTTAAACCAGAATTTTTATATCATTACTACCTTTGTTCTGATATTATTTTATTTTATTATTTTAATTTTCTTCTTCTTCTTCTTCCCCAAAGTTCCCCAGTACATAGTTGTATATTCTAGTTGTAGGTCCTTCTGGCTCTGCTATGTGGGATGCCACTTCAGCATGGCTTGATGAGCGGTGCCAGGTCCGTGCCTAGGATCCGAACCAGCAAAATCCTGGGCCTCTAAAGTGGAGCCACTTGGCCACAGGGCCAGACCCAGATATAATTTTCTTTTTAAAATCCTCAAGGCTAGAGACTTTTACACATTTATTTTCCTTTAAGAATACGTATCTCAACTGGACAAATACTTAGAAGAAACACATATGCCTTTAAGTAAATACTAGCTTTCTAACAATCAAGACAGGCCAAAGACAACTGCCAGATCAGTTCTCAAATCTCTGGCAAACCATGGATTCAAAAAGGAGCCAAATAAATACAACAGCTGTAGTTTACACTTGCCCTAAGAATTACTAATTTCTATAAATTTATTTAGTCAACAAATGGGTGATGACATTTAGTCTGAAGCGATGGCTAAATGCCATACTGTACTTACCTCCAAATAGTTCCAAATCTCTTAAGCCCTCAACAATGAACTTTTCCGAGACCCACCGCTAAAGAGAAAAGCCCCAAAGAGAATTAGTATTTCCTCCAAGGCACAAAAAATTAGCTATCAGCCATTAGACAGACAAACAAAAACAGAATCGTGCAATATAGTTAAGATACATTTCTACGGAAAAGTTTTGAAAAGAATCTTGGATTTAAATCAACTGAAAACAATAGATTAATTCCTTTCTCTGTTCCTCTTTGCCTAATTTGACGAATAATTCCTAAATCTGACAAATGACAAACACATAATATTGGCCTTATTGATAAAGAATGTTTTTGTCCTTCCTATATATAAAACTACATTGTGGTTCTATCTTATTCATTCCATGGCTGTCTATTACAGATGCTTTGGATCATTAATGACAATTTGAAAAATATTATTGGAATTCACAACACAGAAAACAGGGATGAAACAGTAGTTTTTCACAAGCCTCTATTAGTTTATAAAAGGAAACAGCAAGCTGCATATTCTTTCATCCACTAGGGTTTCTAAAGACATCACCAATTTTCTACCAAGTTTACAAGGACCAAACTAGCATGACCAATCTGTGGCCACTTTCCTGGCCTATTTCAAACAAGTATTGGATTTCGATCATAGTGATCAGTGGTCTAGTTTCACCTGAACCAGGCTAGGTTGAAATAGAAAAGAAGCTCATATTTAAAAGCAATGGAATCAAGACTGTATTTCACTTCAGGACTGGTGTTAAAGTTGGGCTTGAGGGCATTCTTTCCACTGGGCAGAGTTGAGGCTAAGGAGAGATTCAGTTTTTCCTCTTAACAGTGGAAGTTTACCCTTTCCAATATACATTTTTCTTATATAAATAAACATAAGAAAAAAGAAGATTAGGTAACATTCAGAAATAAGTTGCACTATATGGATTATGAATTGGAACTACAATATCATTTTCTGTCCTCTATATCAATTTTTTCAAATTAAAAAAAAGAAGACTCTAAACAAAAAACTTGATATAAAAAAATCATATGCACTATACCACAAAACATAATTTACACTTTAACATTTAAAGAAAGTGGTACATTCATAATGTCTCACAGCACACATTGTTACAAGATTTTAAAATAATTACTACTTTATTTAGAAATTAACTACGTGTTAATAAATAAAATAAAATACTTTTATGAAATCATGGAAGCTTGTAAAGAAGCTAAATCCAGTATTTGTTCTTGAGGTCACTTTAGTTGGTAAAGTTTTCAGCTGTAATAAAATTTTTCATGTTCAAAAAGTCTTCAGTTAAAACCCATAATTATACTTAGAAAAAAAGTGTTCCAATGATTACAATTTGATACTGATTTTTAAAACACACAAATTCATTGAACATACAGAGGAAACTGGCAGATCATATCTAGACTGAAAAGAGCCATCAACTCATTTAATGTTGAATGATCGATATTCATAAAATACGCCATCTTGTTTGTTCTCTATCAAACTGATGGGTGTGTTCTGTGTCTCTGGTCAGCCTCTGCCTGTAGCTCTTCTCTCAGGAGTGAAGGCTGCAATACCTGCTTCACTTCCTACATCCATCACTTCTGCATGATCCTGAGCATCACATAAAAAACCACCTACAGTATCTGCCCAAACACATCGCTTTTCAGAAATAAAAATAGTAAAGCCAGAAGAAGAGAAACACTCACCCTGATTCGCTCTGGTTTACTTACAAGAAAAGACATGAGTTCCTAACGTGTAGACCTACTTCAATTGCAAAAATTTAAACCTAAAGGGAAAATAGAAACAGGGTGAGTTAGTCGAATCTCCTTTTTACAGAAATACCTTTTGATTAACAAAACTCACTATGAGTCTACCATTCAAAGCACTGTACTAGATCTATACATTGCTAGATTCTCAAGATTTGTTTAGAGAAACTTCCAGTGACAATAAACTGGGATGTACTTTGGCCAAGTACATTCTGAAATACTGTAATCTCTATAAGAAAAGAGAAGTTTGTTATTATACGGTTTCCTTCTTTAAATTAATTTTTAAATTTTTCTTGACTGAACCCCCGACTAACTCCTTCCCAGCAGTAACTAACTTCAATTCTTTTGGCTGTTTATCCTTTTTATCATCATTCTTAAATAATGTTTATATGGCCATGACCTATCCATTTTAGACATTTATCTACTAACTTCCTACCATGGTAGATGAGGTCTAAGCTCTCCTATATCACCTCCCTGCACTCTGTTTTCCTGCATTCACTCCGCCAACCTAGTTCTGGCATAATTTTTGGTTAAACCAATAGCTGACATTTATACTACTATGATTATACAAACATGGTTCATAGCTGAGGTAAATAGTTAGAAATACCTGTATTCTTCCTTCTGTATACCCATTTTCCCCTTAGAGTTAATAATTGCCTAATTTTTTTACTTGCTTGGTTTCCCATGTAGCTATTATTAACTTTTTCTAAATACTTCAACATCTCTGCTATTTGTCTTATCAATATATTTTTTCATACACTCAAACTCATCCATTCCAATTTCTCCTTAGAGATCGCCTTTCCAGGGCCTTCCATCCTCCTACTGTAATCTGGACTAGTTGCTTTCTAGGCCAGCTGCACTTAGTCAGCCTTTTTACTATGACGGTTTGGATCTCCCAATTCAAGGAAATATTCTTCTATTGTTTCTTTGATAATTTGTCTCCTGTATTCTCATGTTACAGAATTCCTAATAGTTAAAGATGTACTTCTAGAGTTATCCTTTAACATTACACTTGTTTCATTCCTATTTTACAACTCTCTACTTTCCAGGAGATTTCTTCACCTTTATTTCCAACCATTCTACTAAGCTTTAAATTTTGGTTACACATTTCCAAGAGTTTCTGCCATTTCTCAAATGTATCTTTCTTCATATCATCCTGACCTTGTTTTATGTGCTATTTATAATTAGGAATTTATATCTAGAATGGCTAAAAGCATAATATATTATGACCCAGTGGGGTTTATCCCAGGATTGAAAGATTGGTTTAACATTTAAAAATGAATAAATGTATACAAAATTGTGTTTGTTCGAAGTTGTTTGCAAATAAAGAACCAATTTTAAGGAATTTTAAAAAATGAATCAATGTAATTTTACCTTATTAAATGAGTAAACAAGAAAAAAATATACAATCATACCAACAGATGAAGAAAAAGCATCTGACAAAATTCAACACCAACTCATGACTTAAAAAAACTCTCAGTCAACCAGGAATAGTCAAATAGAAATAGAACAGAAATAGAATTTTACCAAGTCAACTTGGTAAAAGATAGACATGAAAAATTTATAGCTAATATCATACTTAATGGTAAAAAAGAATGAATGAGTTTCCTCTAAGAACAGAAGTAAAGCAAGGATGTCTGTTCTCATCACTTCTATTCACCATTGTACTAGTGGTCTTGGCCAACGCAAAAAGACGAGAAGAAATAAAAGGCATACAGATTGGAAAAGAAGGTGTAAAACCTTTTTTTTTTTTAAAAGATTTTATTTTTTCCTCTTTCTCCCCAAAGCCCCCCGGCACATAGTTGTATATTCTTCGTTGTGGGTCCTTCTAGTTGTGGCATGTGGGACGCTGCCTCAGCCGTGGTTTGATGAGCAGTGCCATGTCTGCGCCCAGGATTCGAACCAACGAAACACTGAGCCGCCTGCCGCGGAGTGCGCGAACTTAACCACTCAGCCACGGGGCCAGCCCACAAAACTCTTTATTCATAGACAACATGATTGTGTACCTAGAAAGTGTTAAGTATTCCACAAAAAAATCATTAGACCTAAGAAAATGAATTTAGAGAGGTCAATTACAAAACCCAATTGTATTTCTATATACTAGCAATGAATAACAACAAAATGAAATTTTTTAAAAATCACCGTTTATAATACCAACAAAAACATAAAATAATTAGGAATAATTATAATAAATTATAGATAAGAACTGTTTGTTTAAAATTATAAAACATTGCTAAGAGGGATTAAGGATGATCTAAATAAGAGATATGCCATCTTCACAGTTTGGAAGACTCAATATTGTCAAGATGTCAATTCCTTCCAAATTGATCTATAGATTCAGTGCAATGCCAGCAGACTTTTAAAAAGAAATTGAAGTGGATCACAGAACTAAACAAAAAGTTAAAACTACTAAAGAAAACAGAGCAGGAAATCTTTATGATCTTGGGATAGGTAAAGATTCAAAATAAGAACATCAAGAGCATGAAATGTAAAAAAAAATGTGATAAAGTAACTTTATCAAAATCAAAAACTTGAAAGACACCACTAAAAAAATGAAAAGACTGGGAGAAAACATTGTGTGTGTGTGTGTGTGTGTGTGTGTCTACAAAGGGCTTTATATACAAAATATATAAAGAACTTCTACAAGTCAATAATAAGACAACTCAATGTAAATAATAGGCAACAGATTTGAACAGAAGATATATGAATGTCCACTAAAGCATATGAAATGATGCTCAGCATCATTTGTCATTAGGGAAACATACATAAAGCCACAATGAGATACCTCTACACACCCACCAAAATGGCTGACAATACCAAGTGTTGACCAGCTGGAATTCTCATATGTTGCTGGTGGGAATGCAAACTATACAGCCATTTTAGGAAATGGGTTAGTAGGTTCTCATGACCCAATAATTCTGCTCCTAGGTAATCTACTCAAGAGAAATGAAAACATATGTTCACACAGACTTGCGCATGAATGTTCATAACAGCATTATTCACAATAGCTTCAAACTGAAAACAATCCAAACCTCTACCAACTGGTAAATGGATAAACAAAATGTCATATGTACACCAACGGAATACTACTTGGCAATAAAAAGGAACAACTATTGATACAAGCAACGATATCATGTTAAGTGAAAGAAGTCAGACAAAAATCTACACGTTGTGTCCATTTACACGAAATTCTAGAAAAAGTAAAAATACTATGACAGAAAGCAAATCATCGACTGCCTGGAACCAAGAGTGAAATGAGGGACCAACTTCAAAGAGACACACGAGAACTTCTTGGGCTGATGGAAATGTTCTCTATCTTGATTATGTGGTGGTTACATGAGTGTGTCTGTCAAAATTCAACAAACCATACACTTAATGTAGGTGTATTTTATTGGAGGCAAATTAAATCTCAGCCAAGTTGATTTAAAAAGTAAAATGACTAAAATAAATAATCAGAAACGCTTTTGAAGAATCTAGAAAAAAACCCTGCCACATTACCTCTTTTTTTCCTTAAGGTAGGCTGGGGTTTTGAGGGGTTGTGGTAGTGGTATAGCAATGGGAGTGGGGAATTCATCTGGTACAGAGTTTTAGGAATCCTTAAAATTGCTTCAGAGAAATCAAAGCAATGGTTTTCAACCTAGGGGAGAGAGGAGGCCTTTCAAAATCATCTATAGATTTTTATCAAATTGCTTTTGTTCTCACCCCTACCCTGATTTTTTTTTTTTTTTTTTTGGAGGAAGATTAGCTCCGAGCGAACATCTGCTGACAATCCTCCTCTTTTTGCTGAGGAAGACTGGCCCTGAGCTAACATCCGTGCCCATCTTCCTCTACTTCATATGTGGGACACCTACCACAGCATGGCTTGCCAAGCAGTGCCATGTCCGTACCTGGGATCCGAACCCGCAAACCCCGAGCCACTGAAGTGGAACATGTGGACTTAACCGCTGAGCCACCAGGCCAGCCCCTACCCTGATCTTCTTACAGAAGCCCCCCTACCATGTCGAGAATCATTTATCCTGCCATGAAACAGTAAAAATACAGATTGAATTTGAAAAAAAGATCATTAGAATGCACATTGTTTAATAACATTAAACACAAAGCACATGCAAAAGAAATTTAAGAGGAAACAAAGTCTACATCCATCTGTAGTGTACAACAGAAAGAAAAGAGAATATTAACATAGAGATGTAGATGTTTTTATCCACAGAAAAGAACTGTATATGCTCTGGAAAAATATTGGAAATAGAAAATAAAGTTCCAAAATTCCAAAACACTGTATAAACTAATGTAACTGCCTATTTGGAGAGACCTAAGAATCGGTTCTAGACTGCCATATCAACAGCTTCATCAATGATCTGAACCACTGGTTCCCAAACCAGCATGTGTTTCAAATTAACCTGTGTATTTACAAAAACCTAAGGATGCTCAAACTGCCGCCTTCAAAAATTTTAATTCAGCAGGTCTGGGGAATGCACAAGCAGAAATAGGCAACTCTTCATGGAGTTCAGCAAAGGGAAAGATTACTATGAGCTGGGGTGGACCTGGATAATTTTATTGAGGGGTGAGGCTTGAATGTCAAATAGAACTTAAAGAAAATGGGAATTCCAAGCATGAAATAGTATTAGCTACTGATTATTTAGTGTTTATTTGCCTTGTCCACAGGTGTACCTTTCGGTTTCTAGCATAGTGCCCACCACACAGCAGGCACTCGGTAATACTGAATGACTGCTCAAACGTGCTGAGAAGTGTGTCAGCACTTGGCACATACTCTCGGATTAATATGAGGGCAGTTACAGAAGCAGAACTCTACACGTATGAGAACAATGAATAGGCCTTAATGAATAGGCGTGCTAGAGTATGGATTTTATTCAGCAGGCAGTAGAAGGCCACTGCAGGTTTTGAACAAAAGGTGACAAACACAAAACAGTGGTCTAAGATAGTGTCTCTCAAACTTTACCAGGCATGCAAATCACTTGAGGATCTTGTTCAAATGCAAATTTTGATTCAGAAGGTCTAGAGCGGGGGCCTGGTAATTCTAACAAGCTCCCAGATGATGGCAATGCTACTGATCTGTGGACTATTGTATTGACTAACGTTTGAGAAGCCTTGTTCTAAGGAACATTCTAAGGAATATTAATCTGCAAAGGGATGGGAGAGGAGGAGGTGAAAATAACCCAGAGAAAGAAATGCAAGTTAGAATAAAAGTATAGTGGACCATATTTGTGGTGTCATAGATGGATAGGGGAGAAGGAAAAATAAAGAAATTATATTTAGTAAGGACACCATAAGTCATCCAGCCCATCCTCCACCCTTTGGAGGAATAGCTTTTACAAATTTCTGGATATAGGATTATCCAATCTCTGCTTGAAAACTTCCCACGCCAGAGACTCACTACTTTATCAGGAAGCCCATTCTACCTGTGGACAATTCTGATGACTCCAATTTTTTTTATGCCCAAGTAACTGGGAAAAGAGTAGCGTCTCAACGAGAGAAATAGGAAAGCTCAGAGGTGGAAGTGGTTTCAGTGGAGAGAGGAGTTCGAGTTTTTTGTTTTTTTTTTTTTTTGAGGAAGATTAGCCCTGAGCTAACTACTGCCAGTCTTCCGCTTTTTTGCTGAGGAAGCCTGGCTCTGAGCTAACATCGTGCACATCTTCCTCTACTTTATACGTGGGACGCCTATCACAGCATGGCGTGCCAAGCAGTGCCATGTCCACACCCGGGATCCGAACCGGAGAACCCTGGGCCGCCGAGAAGCGCAACGTGCGAACTTAACCGCTGCGCCACCGGGCTGGCCCCATCGAGTTTTTAAATCATATTGAGGTTGAGAAAACAGTTATATATCCCAAGTGGAAATATATCGTATCCAGTTAGAAAAGTAAGACTGATATTTAAAAGACAGGTTAGAGACGCCTATGTGGACTTGGGAGTTAGCAGCTAAAGCTATATGAATGACAGAAATTCACTCAAGGAGAAAATGGTGAGAGAAGAGCAGGCGGCTGGGAAGCAAGCCTCAGGATAGGCCCATATTTAGGACATGGCTCTTGAAAGGCAGGTAGGAAATGAAACTCAAAGAAAAAACTTTAAAGATCCTTTTTCCCCTCCCGGACCCCTTCCCTCCCCCAACCTGATTAATTTTGACCTGTCCCTCACTACTCATTTCAGGTGTCCTGTGCTACAGAAGTCCTCCCTTCCCCCGCCCCTCCCCTGACCTATGTTACCTGTTCAGCCTCTGTATTCAACCCTTTCGGCTACCACACTCTTAATCGCCTATTTTTTGGTCTCCTCTCCTAGACTAGAGATTCTTTGAGGTCAGGGAATGCATCTTGTTCACTGTTGCATTCCCTGAGGATACTGAGCCCCACACACAATACGGGCATTCCCATATCTGTTAAATTAATAATAGTAAAAATAATAAAAGCAGCAAGCATTTACGTGAACTACGTGCAGGATCTGCACTAAATGCTTCACAGAAATCAGCTCACAATAAGTATTATCATCCACGTTTTACAGATCAGGAAATTAAGGCTCTGAGAGGTTAAATGCCAAGGTTACATAAGCAAGTGGTAGAGGACTGATTAGATCTGTTGCAGGCCTGCGCTCCAGAAACCAGTGATAATAGAGAAGGCTGGGGAGAAGTGTCAAGGCTGTGTGTGCAAAGATACATGACTGAGAAGGTATTACCTGATTTGACAATGCTGCTGACCAGGTGCCAAATGGTATAGAAAGGAAAATTCATTTAACTTAATTTTTTTCTTTTTTTTCTTATTTTTGTCACTGGTTTTCTAACCTTCCTCCATGTCTGTGGTTACAACCATAAACACTGCATTTGAACCACAATACATCTAATAACCCTGGTTAACAGGTTGGGTAACAGATTCAACCAGTTCAGCACTGCAACTAATGGCTGAATAGGCTCCTGGCCTGAGGCAGGTGATCAGAGGAACCTCAGTTTCTTTAACTTTCAGGGACAAGAAACAGTCTTGGGTGTCTCTAGAAAGTATGAATCAGTCAGTAAAGAACTGTCTCAATGCTGCAAATACATAATGGAACATAGTTCTTCGTCAACAGATACTAGAATAAGAAAAGGACCAATTCCAACACTTTTCCTCTTTGGAGGAAATGAAGTTATAACATGCTAGGACATCTTAGAATAGCCCTGGTGGTCTAATGGTTAAGACTGGGGGCTCTCACCAATGCAGCCCAAGGTTCCAGTCCCCTTAGGGAACCACACCACCCATCTGTCAGTTGTCATGCTGTGGTGGTTGCATGCTGCTGTTGTGCTGAAAGCTATATGGTACAGGAGGGTAACCCACGGTGGACAGGTTTCAGCGGAGCTTCCAGACTAAGACAGACTAGGAAAAAGGACCTGGCCACCCACTTCTGAAAAAACAGACCATGAAAAGCCTATGAATATCAACAGAGCACTGTCTGAGACAGCGCAGGGAGAGAGAGAGGATGGCACAAAAGACCGAGCAGGCTTCCGCTCTGCTGTACACAGGGTCGCTAGGAGTCTAACGGACTTGACGGCATTCAAAACAAAGGATATTTTAGCACAGGGCAGAGAAGTTAGTTGCCCATTTCCTGAAAAATTTTATTTAACTACTCCCTCTCCCTCGCGCTCATTTCTCTACCCCTACCCCCCACCTTCACCCCAAATCTACTGTCGGCACTTCAACATTCTTGGAAACCAAGAAGACAATTAGAAGCTCTGTGTTTTGGCTGATTCCGGGAGTCACCTGGATCTCTGTCCTTAACGGGGGCTTGACCCGCTGCCTGCTCAGCCCGGGGTGACACGGGGATGTGGTGGGAGGAGAGGTGAGCACTAGGATCTGCCGTCTCTTTGCTTGAGCAGGACAAACCGACACCTGGGCCCCAGGTTCCCCACCTAGAAGTCGGGGGAAAGAGGGCAAGCAGGCGCTCGCCTCTCCCGCCCGGCAACTCCGCTCCGGGGTCTCCCGGCCAGGCCCGAGCCTATTCTGCTCTCGGGCTGCAGCCTCTCACTGCGAGAACCGAGAACTCGGGTGAAAAGGAGCCCGGGAGGGCGAGGGGGGACTCGCGAAGGCCCGCCCCTGAGGAGATGAAATCGGCGCCAGGGCAAGAAGGGACCGACCCCCGGAAGACACCAGGCGGCCCCGCCAGCCCGGTACCTGGTCCTGGAGTCAGCACGCAGACCCGACCCGGTCACAGCTCCGCCTCTTTAGTTTATGGCCGCGCCGCCACCAGGCCAGTGGCTGGGAGGGAAGTACGCAACGTGCCATGCGCAGTAGAGGAACCAAAGGCGGGCGGGTAGGGAGCTCCGCCCCGCCCCGCCGCGGCCCGAGCGGCTGAGGAAGCTCCGCCCCGCCCGGCCGCGGCCCGAGCGAGGGAGGAAGCTCCGCCCCGCCCCGCCCCGCCGCGGCCCGAGCTGGTGAGGAAGCTCCGCCCCACCCCGCCCCGCCCGAGCGCGTGAGGAAGCTCCGCCCGGTTTCTGCGTCGCCGCGGTGCGGCAAGCCCTCAGCAGCGGCCTAGCGGAGAGCTGTTCACGGTTGAGTTCTGTCACCGCGTCCCGCGCTACCTGAGGGCATTCCGTCTCCAACACGAAGTTTCACCAAGTCTGGGGGCCAAAGACCTAGCTTGTCGTGGGTGCGGTCTGCCGGTCCAGAGCGGGCTCCCGGGAGCCTCCGCCCCTGCAGCAGGCGGGAAGCAGGAAGATCTCAATAACGAGGAGTCGGGGACCAGAGAAAGGCAAACCAACGCTGGCTGCTGACTTGGCTACCTTGAGGAATTTGTGTTTGTTTTCATTTCGTGTGGCAGGACTTCAATGGGAAAACCTGCCTCGCATTTTTCTTGAAGACAGCTCAAATTCTCCTCATTTTGGCCTCTTGGGCACCAGACGGACAAGCTGCAAAGGGGAAACCCACCCTTTCTCTGTGCCTCAATTTCCTTATCTGTAAAAGGAGGAAAATAGCTCACCTAATGGGAACTACCATATTTTCCCTTCTGGATCTTTTTGTCCCTGGACCCTTCCTCATCCACAACTCCTGAGTTTTTTTTTTAGGACGATTAGCCCTGAGCTAACATCTGCCGCCAATCCTCCTCTTTTTGATGAGGAAGACTGGCCCTGAGCTAACACCTGTGCCTATCTTCCTCTATTTTATATGTGGGATGCCTGCCACAGCATGGCTTGACAAGCAGTGCAGTATGTCCACACCCGGGATCCGGGCTGGGGAACCCAGGCCGGCAAAGCAGAACATGCAAACAACTGCTTAACTCCTGGCTCCTCTTGAGATGTTCTGTTTGCAGAAACCTATAAGGTTTGCTTTGATGGAGAAGCTAGCCTAAACCAAGGCATGCAGGGCTTGAGGAATGATGAAGAAATTAAGGAGCAAGACTCTCTTCGGTGAGACTGCGTTTCTTCAGTAACTTACTCTGCCCATGGTGGGGGGTGGGGGGTGTATCCAAAATTGGATAAATAATCAAGTAATGAATATCGCTCTTCTCAGCTCTGACCCTTGACGCTGATTTATACTGGTCTAACTTCCAAGATGGGGAAGAGGTTCAGCTACATCCAAACAGGGACTGATGGAAATAAGAGATCGAAGCGGAACGTGAACTTTGCCAGTGCACTGATATGCACCTCCAGGTCTCATTCAGTTTTACAGATATCACTTTGATCTTATCTAGTGCTTTAACGTTCCAGAACACTACCCTCACTATTCTCTCATCCTCAAAATAACATGCCTCTCTCAGGAGCAAACTTAATAAATATACGAAGCAAGATAGTAGCAGAAACTGAAGCAAAATTCTTGGCGGTGTTCTTTCAAAAAGACCTTCACAGATGGTCTTTGGAATTGAGGGTACTAGAGAAGATAGTCCCTGAAAAGATGCCAAACTTCATGCAGTCATCGCAATGTGGAATTTAATTATGGAGGTACTTCCCATCTATTTTAATACCTAGCCCTAGCCCAGTCGCTATGCCGTTTTCTACTTGGATGTCAGTCGGCCAGGGGGCCAAAAGATCTCACCATCTTCATGACTGCCCACAAAAGCTGGCCAGAGAACCTTTTGGCCTAGATTCTGTTGTGACTTTCAAGGAGCAAATGTTCATTAGCTTTAGTTTTCCTTGCAAGAGGGCCTCCTAAATCCAGATAACCTGGAAAACTGGTGTAATGAAAGGTCAACTTTCAGAGTTTACAAAGTCAATCTTTGCTGGCTTTACTTTTGACTTGTTATGAGCCCTGGAATCCACAAGCTCCCTAATGCTTTTCACTTACTTACAATAAGGGTTGGGACTCTCCAAGATTTCTGGAGCTTTCCAAAACTGGCTTGAAGCCTGGAGGAAGGGAGATGAACTGAAGATCCTGGCCATTTTGTTTTTAACTCTGAGCATCCAGTTTAGACTAAGTGCTGCCCTCTTCAAGATACTGCATAAATTAACTGTGAGGAAGGTAAAACTAATTGCCTATGAATGGATAAATAAGATATGGTGTATATATACAATGGAATACTATTCAGCCGTGAGAAAAGATGAAATTTTGCCATTTGTGACAACATGGATGGACCTTGAGGGTATCATGCTAAGTGAAATAAGTCAGATAGAGAAAGAAAAATACTGTATGATTTCACTCATGTGGAATATAAAAAACAAAACAAACAAACAAAAAATAAAAACAAACTCATAGAAGCAGACAACAGATCGGTGGTTACCAGAGGGGAAAGGAGTTCAGGGTACGGCAAATGGGGTAAAGGTGTCAATTATACGGTCACAGATGGAAACTACACTTTTGGTGGTGAGCATGCTGTAGTATATACAGATGTCGAATTATAATGTTGTACACCTGAACCCTATGCAATGTTATAGTCAATGTTACCTCAAATATATACACATATAAATTCTGTTCGCCATAATGCCATAGAGTGCAAAGACAAACCACAGAATGGGAGAAGATACTCACCAAACATAAATCTCACAGAGGATTTGGATCCATAATATATATATTTTAGAACCTCCTACAGCTCAATAACAAAGAAACCACCCAATAAAAAAAATGAGCAAAAGACTTGGTTATACATTCCACAAAGAGGAAGTTCTAATGGCTGCAAAACCTATTACAAGATACTCAACATCCTTAGTCACTGGGAAAATGCAGAGGAAAACCACAATGAGATCCCACTGCACACCCATCAGAATGACTAAAATTAAAAAGGCTGATACTATCAAATGTTGTCAAAACTGTGGAACAACCAGAACCCACATTCTTTGTTGGCAGCAAGGCAAAAAGCTATTTGAAAAATTGTTTCCATGAAAGCCCTTTGCAATTCTACTCCTAGGTGCATTCTCAGCAGACATGCGTCCACCAAGACACAGAATACTGAACAGCAATGAAAATGAACCAGCTGCAATTATACACAAATGTGCCTCTCATATGATGTTGAGTGAAAGAAGCCAGATGCAAAGGACTATATAGTATGACTCCATTTATGTAAAGTACAAAACCATGCAAAACTAATCTATGCTGATGGAAGTAAAGACAGAGGTTGGGGGTGAGGACCTAACGACTGAGACGGAGCATGAGGGATCATTCTGGGGCACTGGAGATGTTTTCAATCTTCATCTCCATGGTTGGCACAGAGGTGTTTAAGAATGTAAAACTTCAACGAGTGTGCAGCTGTGTGCCCTTTACTTTATGTAACTATACCTTAATAAAAAGTAAAAAAAAAAAAAGACGAATTGCCTAGAATACTTAAGTGAGAGATAAAAATGCTTATGATGTATAGTAACAAATTGAGCAGGATTTTTAATTTTAGAGCATTTTATGTGTCAAAGCACTACTTTACACATGTTATCTAATATGGTCCTCTAAACAGCCATTTTAGAAAGGGGAGGGAAGACAGATGAGGCAACAGACTTATCAAAGCACTAGGACAGCTCCAGGGGCCCTGCCCACAAATCCAGGGCCCTTTTCTGAAGCAGAAACCTGGCTTCAATTCTAACTCTGCTACAATCTTGCTAAGTGATAGTTACATGCAAGAAGACTATGCAGAAGGGCTATTTAAGCACTCAAGTTTAAAATATGATAGGAAAGCAGTTAAGAGTTCTCCCTCAAACAAAGTTGATACAATAAATAACCTAGGCAGATGTAACATTATCTGATTTCCAAATAACTCCGTGGAACTAAATACTTAAAAAGGCCTGGATGTCTTTTAAATAAATAAAAGTTACACTATTTGGATAAAACCAAATAGGTGAAATTAAAGAGGACAGTTAATTTTAAAAGATGGAAATAAGGATGAATAATATCCATTAAAAGTAGTATAGTAGTAGACACAAAGTTTTCCCTTTCAGAAAAAAAAATTAGGGGCCGGCCTGGTGGTGCAGAGGTTAAGTTTGCACATTCCGCTTCGGCGGCTTGGGGTTCACTGGTTCAGATCCCCGGTGTGGACCTATGCACGGCTTGTGAAGCCATGCTGTGGCAGGCATCCCACATAAAACAGAGGAAGATGGGCACCGATGTTAGCTCAGGGCCAGTCTTCTTCAGCAAAAAGAGGAGGATTAGAGGCAGATGTTAGCCCAGGGCTAATCTTCCACAAAAAGAAAAAAAAAAGAAAAAAATAGTTTACTTCTGAAATTAGTATTACTTCTCAGGTCACAGAGCTGAATTGGCATTCAACTTGTGCAAAAATAAAAACAATACACCTTCTTCCACATGCAAATAAGTCTTTTGCTCATCACTAAACTCCAGAAACTGAGAAAAGCAATACTTTTTGCGATTGTTTTAGCAGTCTGTAATAGAAGTCACACCTATGTGTATAAGTGTCTCCTCCCTCTTACATCCTTTTAAATCATTCAAAATGAGTGGAGGTAGGAACAGTAAGAAGAGAATCTGAGATGATAAAGTATAGTATTTCAGCCCTCCCACCAAAACCAAAGGATCGTTATACAACACAGCTCTAAATAATTTTCACATTGCCCATTCGTATTGGATGGGTGGAATGAGAACACCAATCACTGTTTTCCTTTGGTCTAAGTCCCATCTAAAGAAAAGAGTTTCACATCTGGTGCTTGGCAGGGAAAGGTTTTCTATTACCAAGGAAACAGAATAGTAAACTATGCCCCCACCCATACCATCAAACTTTGCAGATAAAGTTAGAGAACTCTGAAAGGATCTGCCTCGTTTCCATTGGGAGAAAGAAAAGCAAAAGAGAGTAAAGCAAAAACACACCACTTGGAGAACAGTCCTAGATAATACCTTACATTTTTAAAGTGCTATAGTTTACAACAGAATTTTACATATATTATCTCTTGGTGTTGTAGGTAGGTAGAAGGTTGTCTCTTCCTACCCTGTGAGGTAGGTAGAGAAAATAATTACTTTCCTCACTTTGTGGAAGGGAAAACAGAAAGAACAGAACAGAGACTCGAAGAGATTAGTGACTTGGCCAAAGTCAAAGGATTAGTAATTGGTTTTGCTAGCACTAAATAAAAGCCAGGTTTTATCTTCCAGTCCAGTGCTTGCTTCAGCATTCCTAAGTGCCCCGGCAATGCAGACAAGATTCAAGGGCTTAGTGGTTTTCCAGTGTGTGACAGTCAACACTATTCTCCTCTCTTTGTCCTTTCATTCATAGGAGAGATAACGGTGTCTTAACTTAAGAGGGGGACTTGGGGGAGAAGCCCATGAATAACACATGGGGCTCTGAAAATATAAAACATTCTAAAAATGACAACTGGTAACAACTAAGGGAAAAGCATTTCAGTGCTGACTTTTATTGAACAGAAAGAACATTCCCATGGGCTTATACTCTTGTAGAGCAACTCCAGAAAAGTAAAGGCGGCACTCTGAGATTTTTGTCAATGAGTTTTAATACGTGTCCATAGGTAGTTCATATGAATGCTTAAATTACAAATTAGCTGCCATGGTCCAAATATGTGGGACTTTAAGAAAGCGTTTATTAATCAAAAGATAGCTAAGCATATCAACTTTGATTTCTAAAATGTATTTTAAAGGTTTGTAAAACAAGACTAATTCTAGAATTATATAGCATTAAAGTAAGTAAATTTTATTTTTTAATTTTAATAACTTAATTTCATTAATGGTTAAAAAAATAATACATTTGCAGTTTACACATTTCTGCATTAACCTAGAGAAAAAAACTATGTGAAAAGTTTGCATGCAGTTACAAGGGCAGCAGCACATGCTGTTTTCACAGCAACTTGTTATTGCCTCAGAGCACACCTGCACATAAAGCATCCACAAAAATACCCGCCCACCCCTCTCCCACCAAAAAACCCAACCCTTTCCCATCCCCAGCAAAAATTACCTAGTACAAGCAGTGACTTAAAAAATGCTTTCTTAGTAGGAAGCATTTATAAAATGCAGAGATCTGAACAAGCTAAATGCTTGTGCAGATTGATGGGCCTCTCCTAAGAGTTCCTTCCTCAAGAGACAGAAAGGACTCTCAATAGTTTAGGAAAGCTCATTTTTAAAAGTATATTTTTGCATATTCATGGCTATTTCTTTGAAAGAATATACCTAGCCTCAACTGTGGAAGAGATAAAAGCAGAAAGAGAAGCAAAGGCTACAGCCATAACACAGAGAATGGAGCTTCTCCATGAACATCAATAGGTTACAGCAACCAAGAAAGAAAACATCTGTGAGTTCACATAGATCACTGGTCTGATCTAGGTGAAGCAGTTAATTTTTCATGCATGTTTTACTGAATAAAAACATATAACCACTTAAAATACAGCATTCACATTGTTATAAGCTCGTGCTCCTGTACTACCTATTGCTAGACTTTTCCATGTACATGTAAGTATCCTAAAACCTACAGATATCCTATAACACTGTCATCAGCACCTCCCACCTACAAAACATATCCTGAACTACATTATGTTTTGAGTCCCTGAAATTTCAATACCACATAGTGTTCTAAATTTTACTTTTTTACAAGTTTAATGTAGAGACAGAAGAAAACACCAAGCAATGTTTATTGTGCAATTCCAATAGTTATTTGTGGAATCTTGGTTTAGAGTCAGTCTTCATAGCCATTTCAACTGCCTAGTTTAAACAAAAAGCAACAATCTATAGATCTATAAATTTCACGATATTTCTTCAAACATCAAAGCACTGATGATTTGTGTTATAATTTTAAAAATATTTTAAATTACACAGATTTCATATATCATTTCTTTTATAAAATAATCAAAATAATTGATTATCTGGAAGAAAATTACTGAAACAGAGTCCTTCTAATGTATCTATAACCTCTGTAAGACTCCAAGCCAAAAACAGAACAAATGATAAAATAAGAATTTCTCAGTCACTGGGAGTGTTTGAACTTTAAGATGAGAAATGGACTCATATTTTTTATGTTTCCTGTGAATTCAGAGCTTACAGGTGGCATCAGGACTCAGATTTCTGGGATGACTTTACATGGCTTTCACTTTGATTTGCTTCATTTTCATTTGCTTCTTCTCCAATTTCTTTTGCTCACGCCTCAAAGCAGCTTCCTAGAGAGAGAGTGGGAATGCAAACTAAGCTCTAAGCACATGTTAAAACAAAAAACAAAAAACCCAACTAGAATACTGCCTGTATTATTATTCAAAAACCTGGGCTTGGACCATATGTAACAGTCCAGAAAGTAGTTATAAAAATTGCTAATATCTATCTTGTTTAATGAAAGTCTACTTGGAATGAAGCAAAGGTAATTAAAATCTCATTAGAAGGAAACTAAATACTACATTTAAGCACGTTTTGTTATTCTGGTCTGATTTTTCCTATACCCAGGAAACACTAACTCAATTTTCATCATGATATTTATATTTTTCTGCTAAAGAGTTGTGCTTCAGTTTAGAAAACCTTAAGATCTTGTTTGATGAGGTTATTAAGTGTAAATTCTTCTTCTTAGCATAGATTTTATACCTCAGCACAATACTTCAATTTATAATGTCCGATTGGGAATTTTTATCATATTTTTATTTAGGAATTAGGAGCTTATGTAAAAGGAGAGAAAGAAGCTTCAAACACATTATTTTAGTAGCAAAAATCACTGGTTATTATTACCTGTACTGAGGGAAGCCTTAGGGGTCAAGACAAAGCATGACTTCACTGTTGGTTATTAGTGGTCATATCTGATTAAAGCTTTTTCCAGCTGCAATCTCAAACTTGAGTTTTTAGGGGTTTGGGGTAAAAATGTGAGAAACATATTCCTCAACTGGTAAAGGACTGAGAAAATATGGAAGAGGAAAAGCAAAAGCACATAGTATATATAGTTCTTGATAGTGTAACAAATTAGTTTCAAAGGGTGATGTGTAAATTGGTGGTTTGGGAACTACTGACTGTGTCAGGTTTAAACACAAGATAACAACAAACTATTCACCTATACAGCAGTGTAGGCCTGAAGGTTTATCCATCCATAGCTGCACTATTGTATAAGTATCTTGAAGAACTGAACCACCATTGTTAGCACCACTTTTATGGGAAAATACATTCTGAATTTGGGTTCACAAAGGCAGGAATGAACCCACCTCCTTTGGCAGCTGCTGCCTCCTGTGAGGGCTCTATAGCAAGCGCGTAGCAACAGCATATACAGTTGGCCCTCTGTATCTGCGGTTTCTGCATCCGCAGATTCAACCAACCGCAGATTGAAAGGCCTACAATGGTTGCGTCCAATACTGAACATGTACAGGCTTTTTTTGGGCATTATTCCCTAAACAATACAGTATTTACATAGCATTTACATTGTATTAGGTATTCTAAGTAATTGAGAGATGATTTAAAGTGTATAGGAGGATGTGCATAGGTTATATGCAAATACCTGCCATTTTATAGTATAAAGGACTTGAGCATCTGTGGATTTTGATATCTGTGGGGGTACTGGAACCAATCCCCGATGTACACCAAGGGACAAATGTATGTCAAAAGCTATACTGCTCTGGGATAGCTATATAAAGTACTATCCCAAGGTCCCCTTCACACTGTCTCAACCCCCACCTCCACCATATTCCTTCTTTCCCCAACACTATTCATCCCTTCCCATATTACATATTATACACGTGTAAAACTAACCCTACAGAGTACAGTACAGCAGTTAAGAGAAAAAATCTAATTACATTAACATATTTAAGAAACATTTATGTTAATGTCAAAAATGTTCACCTTCAATAATAATTCAAAAAATGCAAAACAAATGGGAAGCCATTTCCCCACTCTCAGAATCCTACATTTAAAAAATTGATAACTAGTTTTCTTAAAGATATGATTTCTTGAAGACTTGTCATAACGTATACTAGTAAAAGCATACATTTTACAATTTCTTATTGGCAGCTTCTCTCTCTTTTTCTTTCCTAGGATTGTTTTCCTCAGGAAATAAAAAAGAACAAATATGGAAAGGCACTTTCTTGAAAGGCTGCAATATTTTTAATATAAAAAGTTGCAGAACCCTGTTTATAAGATGATCTACATTAAGAAAAGGATTATGGGAGCCAGCCCAGTGGCACAGCAGTTAAGTTGGTATGTTCCTCTTCAGTGGCCTGGGGTTTGCCGGTTCTGATCCTGGGTGCAGACCTATGGACCACTTATCAAGCCATACTGTGGTAGGCATCCCATGTATAAAGTAGAGGAAGATGGGCACGGATGTTCCCTTAGGGCCAGTCTTCCTCAGCAAAAAAGAGGAGGATTAGCAGCAGATGTTAGCTCAGGTCTAATCTTCCTCCAAAAAAAAAAAAAAGAAAAAGAAAAAGAAAAGGCTTATGGGGTGCTGGCCCTGTGGCGTAGTGGTTAAGTTCAGTGTGCTCTGCTTCAGTGGCCCGGGTTCACGGGTTTGGATTCCAGGTGCAGATCTACACCACTCGCAGCCATGGTGTGGCAACGATCTACATATAAAATGGAGGAAGACTGGCACAGATGTTAGCTCAAGGCTAAGCTTCCTCAGCAAAAAAAAAAAAAGAAAAGGACTGTATGCACACTAAACATATATATAGCTGGGGAACTAAATAAGCTATATAGTGTTAATGGTGGTTACCTTTAGGAATGGGAATTGTCTGAAGGATTATGTTATTTTTACATAGTAGAATTAAGGTTAATTTTAACTTCTGTATATATGTTTCTCTATATTTTTCAAATTAAATATATAAGTAAACAAAAAAACAAAGCTATACTAGTAGTGGCAGGAAGGTCCAGAACATTTGTACTAATGAGCCATTCAAGTCAGAAATGGACTATAGAGGTTTTTCTTTTGTTTTTTTTTCCTTTCCCATTTAGTTCACTGGATGTTTTCATAAGGTACCCAGGCCTAGATATTACAAAGTGGTGGTTCTAAAAAAAAAATACATGGTTTACACCTACAAGCAGCTTACAGTCTGAATCAAGCTATGTTCTGGGACCCCCCACCCCCTACTTTTTCTTAAATCTACTATAGTTTCAAACCCCAGAAGGAACTGGAGAACATTTTTCATAGAAAAATTAAAGGCACTATCTATTAATGATTCCATGTAGATTCTTCCAACAGATTCATTAAAAAGCCATTTTTATTTATAAAGACAATTGCATAAACACAGAGCTCTATTCAGGGGAAAAACACCCATCAATTAAACCAAACCAAAACCAAATCAAAAAATGATGAGAAAGGATAAGATGGGAGGAGGCCTGGGACCTTCACTCAACAGTATTAGTGACTCTACTGGCAACTGAAGTGCCACACAGTGGCTCACTTTTTCTTGGCAGTATGCCTCCCCACTTCTAAGAATTTTCTTCAATCTTTGAGATTATTCTCGTTAAAATTCACATCTCCCAGAACGTTGTTCTCCTCTTTTTTTGACCACCATTTACAAGGTTTAAAATTTTAGAGCTGGACTATGGCATCTTATTTTACAAAAATGTGAGAACATACTGATATTTGAAACTACAGCCTTAAAAGCTCTTAAGTTTGAGATTCTGGGTATATAAAAAATAGAAAACAAAAATACAAACCAAAAATATTACAAATACTGTTAATTCTATAATCAAATTTAAAATTTTATTTTTGTTGTTAGTGGCGTTGAGTCGATTCTGACTCCTAGTGACCCCGTTTACAGCAGAACGGAAGCCTGCCTGGTCTTTCTGTGCCATCCTCTCACCTTCCGGTGCTGTGTCAGACAGTGCTCGGCTGCTATTCAGAGTTTTCCTGGCCAGCTTTTTTGGAGGTGGGTGGCCAGGTCCTTCTTCCTAGTCTATCTTAGTCTGTAAGCTCTGCTGATACCTGTCCGCCATGGGTGACCCTGCTGGTATTTGAAATACCGGTGGCAGAGCTTTCAGCATCACAGCAACACGGAGCCAGCACAGTACGACAGCCGACAGATGGGTGGTGTGGTTCCCTGACTGGGAAACGAACCTGGGCCTTGGCAGTGAGAGGGCCGAATCTTAACCACTAAACCACCAGGGATAACTTCAAAATTTTATAAAACAAGTTTATTTGGACCATAGGGCACATGTGCTGGCTTCTATTAAAATATCTAATTTCTTTCTGCCTCTGTAAGTGTTTGGCTTGAAAGATGGTAGTGGAACTTTCAAAATGGGATTGTGCTGGGGGAACAGGATAATTCATCTAATTCTCCAGGCTCATAGACTCAGTCTAACATGGTTTAACAGGAAGGATTTATCCTTCTTTATACTGCTATCAACTAACAAAATGTCTCAAGTGCTGAGAAGATGTTAAACTTTTAGCCTGTGTACATTCCTACATAGAATTACATTACCTTAACAGTCAGTATGGCATAAATAAGCATCCTTATAAATCTAGTTTTACCTCAGTGATAAGAAAAGTTTATCTCACCTCCAGCCTGCGCTGTTTCTCAGGATCTTCCTCATTCATGATTCGCTCCTTCTCTGCTCTTTTCTTTTCCTCACGCCGAGACTGTGCAGCTTCCTGTCTTTGCACATGCGTCAGCTTCAAGAAGTTCTCTTCTACTCGAGCTCGGTTCTTATCTGCTTTTTGTTTGCCCTTTCCCCAAGAAACAAAGTTTTTCATAAGAAACCCATTTCAATCCAACAGAAGCAAAATTCCATTTAGTATTCTTTCATAAAACTGTTCTCATTTAGCACTTTCAAGTCAACGAGCAAAAGCACAATCGCAAAAATACAATCACTGGAATCCTTGACAGCTGACCACCGCCCCCAGGGGGAAAAGAACAATAAAAGGTGCCAACTTATAATAAAGGTTGCAGGTCTTACTTCTCTGTTGAGTCGGAACTTTTTGGCTTTATCAATAGAATAAATCACCATGTTCATCAGGGGTAGCAAAGCCTCCATATCCTTTGGGTAAGTGTTACCTGAGCCAGGCACTGGAAAACAAAGCCATTTTCCTATTGAGTTAATGTCAGTATTAATACTTGTGGATCACCCAATTCTCTTTTCTTTTTTTGGTATTAATAGACTCCTTTCTCCAAGTTTCTTAAGCAGCTAAAATTCAGCAGAAAATAGAAATTAAATAGAAAAGAAGAAATAGAAAAGATCTTTATTGAAGAAACCCAAGGGGCTGGCCTCGTGGCTCAGTGGTTAACTTCATGCGCTCTGCTTTGGTGGCCCAGGGTTTCGCCAGTTCAGATCCTAGGCGCAGACCTGGTACCACTCATCAAGCCATGCTGAGGTGGCACCCCACATAACAGAACCGGAAGGACCTACAATTAGAATATACGACTATGTACTAGGGGGCTTTGAGGACAAGGAGGAAAAACAAAGAAGACTGGCAACAGATGTTAGCTCAGGTGCCAATCTTTAAAAAAACAAAAAAACTCAAAAACTGGCATTGTGTAATATAAAGATGGCTGGTAAGATTCCTGCTAGCAATGTAAAATTAGAAAAAAAAACAACCAACCCAAAAACCAATAAGCAGGGGTTATTATCATTTATTTTTGGTGAGGAAGATTGGCCCTGAGCTAACTAACATCTGTTGCAATCTTCCTCTTTTTTGTGGGGGGGGGGGAGGAAGATTAGACCTGAGCTAACATCTGCTGCCAATCCTCCTCTTTTTGCTGAGGAAGACTGGCCCTGAGCTAACATCTGTGCCCATCTTCCTCTGCTTTATACGTGGGATGCCTACCACAGCATGGCTTGTCAAGCAGCGCCATGTCTGCACCTGGGATCCAACCAGCAAACCCCAGGCTGCCCAAATGGAACATGCAAACTTAACTGCTGTGCCACTGGGCTGGCCCCTCTTCCTTTATTTTGTATGTGGGATGCTGCCACAGCATGGCTTGATGAGCGGTGTGTGGGTCCATGCCCAGGATCTGAACTCGCAAACCCTGGGCCACCAAAGTGGAGTGTGCAACCTTAACCACTATGTCACTGGGCCGGCCTGTATGGGGTTAATTTTAATGTAGTTTTCTATAGCTATCACTTAGGAGGGAATAATACTCTCCTTAAGATCACCTCAAAGAAAACGAAGAACTGGAGAACACACAGAACACTTACCATTAAATGTAAACAATAGTGTCCTCTTAGTGTCAGGCAGTTTTAAAGGCTGACCTTCCCTGTCATAAAAGAAAGGCTATTTAGAAAGAACACGAGAAAGAGATTTTCCATGCATGTTAAGTCACCCAATTCACTTAGATGAAAAGATGCCTGCAAATAATCAGCACAGAATTTGGCTTGGCATCCCCAAGGCAAATATAATCTCAGAGCCTGAAGGAGTTTTACAGGTCATCTCATCCACTCGTCTATCTGATGGATGCATTCCCAAGTGACCTTTACCCTATATTTGAACACCTCCAGTAATGTCCCCTCTAGGCAGGATATATTCCATTTCACCTGGGGAGCCAGAAATGAGCTTATATTTAAGGATGAGGCCCATGTTTTCAATAACACTTTTGCTTATTTTGATGGGTTTTTATGTTTTATTTACAACTCCTACCATCATATATGGAACATCTTATTTTTGAGTTGGGCTCAGAATAAATTTAGAAATAATCTACTATAGCATATATAATTTAGTTCCAACTCACAAAACATTCTTTTGAAATCCTTGTCTATCAACCCCTCTCTCCTTCCCCCGCACCCAAAATGCTCCACGAATACTCTAACGTGACAGTTTGCCCCAGTGTTGCTACTGAGTTGAGCAAAGCAAGGATAATGTAATGCTATCTAGGGGCATAAGGACCTGAGTAATTTTGACACACAACTAAAATCCAGATTGGCTTTTAACTGTACTCGGTTCCCTAAGGGCTTTGCCCTTAACCAAAAATTTAAGTCAGAACCAATTCTACGCCAAGGATAAACTTAAATAAGTATGCTCTCCTGAGCAAGGACGTGAATTCAAACAACAAATTCAAGCCCTGAATGTGTATATTCAAACGTTACTATGAAGTCAGAAATTCTGTGGCATTGAGGGCATCTGATAATATACTAGGAAAGAATATAATCACCCAACAACTTGAAGGAAGCCGGAAAAGGCCCTGAATTATAAGACACATAGATGTGCAATCAATCAAAAACACAAGTCAAACATCACAGAGAGATTCATACCATAAATTAAAAAAGAAAAAAAAAGAACCTAGACTACAAAGGACAAAGAGATTAGCAATTACATTTTCCTAGTATGAGCCATTCTGTAAGATTCCATCCACCTCACTGAGTGGGTGGTGTATATATGCGGCAACACATGCAAACCGCAGAGGTTTATTTGCCTCCCATTGGTTTTCAATTACATTCATGATGCATGCAGTCAAAGCAAAGGAAAACTTGGATGCCCATCACCAACTTCCCTCACCTATTTGGTAAGGGAAATTGCAGAAGCTCCTTGCAAGTGTTTCAACACAGAAAGCTAGCGAGAAAAATTAATTTCAGAATTTTAATCTCATACGTACTCTTGCATAATTTTTGGACCAGAGAACTGGTCTGAAAAATGAACAGATTCAATCTTGTCAGCATAGTGTGTAAGAAAGTGAACCATCTGAAATAAAGAAAAGAAATTTTTTTTTTAAAGTAGGGTTTGATGCATTTCCCTTTTTCATATTCACTCTTCAATCCTTACTTTTGCACAATGTCATTAAGGCTAAAGCTTTTACAAAAGTTAAATAAGATAAGGAATCTCTCTACAATGAAACTAGTACCTCTTTTCAGTTACACCAATAATTAAATTTCTTCTCATGGAACAGCTGAAAATATGTCTCAAAATAATGTTCCAAACAAGAATGAAAGCACGAAGATAAAATCTAAAATAATTTCAGGCAATTCTTCATAAACACATCACCTTCAACTTACATTTAGAACTGTCTTTGAGCTAGCCTATATTTTCGTGATACTAAGATGTGCTATTACCATTACACAACCCATAGGAAAAAAATGGCTCTCTATATAGCCCTCTTCTATACTAATAGAAGCTAAAAAAACTAAAGGACTAATGACATGCTGATAAGAATTAAAACTGCAGTCCTTTACCAAAAAACCTGAAAGCCATTAGCAATCCTAGGAACAATTTGCTCTTGATTTAGAGAAGAACTTCTTGACTAATCAAATTGTCTTTTTGACAAGGTAATCTATTGCTTAAAGAGGTATTTTAATGTTTGTGTGGGAAAGGAATGTGTAACTACTGCATCGTCATAAAATGAAGAACTTGTACAGTGTGACTTTAGGGAGAGTGCCCTGTATACGCCAAGGTCCGCAAATGTACATTTTCTGCTGAATTTACCTTTGTATCCATCATTCCCTCTGTGACTTCTCCCATCTCTGACAGGATGGCCAAGGAGTCTGGCAGTCCATACTTTGCTCCAGACTTAGGTTTGTCACTACAAAACTCACTCTGGAGGAAGAAGTAATTGAAAACAAAACATGACATTTTTATGCACAAAGACTTTGTCTTCTCAAGAGAATATGTACTATTGCAAAGTGGTGCTTAACAATGTTCAAGTGATATAATTAATCATCCTATGCTCTAAAGTTGAATGCATATGTAATAAAGAGGCATAGTTTCTGCATTTATTTGAGTTGGAACAACTTGACATACCAGATCCTGCATCTCTTTCTGTAGTCGCACCAAGGCTTTCCGAGTGCCAACGGCAAACACATAGGTATCCATGTCTTCATCATTCATGGTTACTTTTATTTGCTTCAGAAAAAAAACAACAACAAAACTCACCTGCTAGGTTCTGTGATGGGCAGATTTCTAAGATGGCCCCAAGATTCCTGCCCTCGGAGTATACATCCTCCCCTCAAATGTACGTGGGACTTGTGAATGTGATGGGATATCACTCTCATGATTACGTTGTGTTATATGGCTGAAGGTCCCTAATCAGCTGGCTTTAAGTTCATCAAAATGGATGTTATCCTGGGTGAACTGATCTAACCTAGTGAGTCCTCGAAAAAAACAGTGGGAAAGTCTGGTATGATAAACATGGCCCTATTTATCATATTAACTGTATCTTAAAATGTTTGGGTCAAAAATTATCAATATGTGGAAGAAGAGAAATGTTAATGGAGGGAAATATAGCAAAGAATTGGCAAGATGGCAGCTGTATAAGAAAATGTTTTCTGGGCTGGTCCGGTGGCGCAGCGGTTAAGTTCGCACGTTCTGCTTCTCTGCAGCCCAGGGTTCACCAGTTTGGGAAGCACCGCTTGACAAAAGCCACGCTGTGGTAGGTGTCCCACGTATAAAGTAGAGGAAGATGGGCACGGATGTTAGCTCAGGGCTGGTCTTCCTCAGCAAAAAGAGGAGGATTAGCAGTACTTAGCTCAGGGCCAATCTTCCTCAAAAAAAAAAAAAAGAAAGAAAGAAAAGAAAAGAAAATGTTTTCTATTCTTCCCTCATTGAGGGTAAATTACACAAAGCAACACCTTTGACAGAACCCAGAAAAAAGGACTAAGAAATATAAAGAACAACGTGTTTGTTGAAACTGTCTTTGCAGAAAGACATAAAAGGATGGCTTGCTTAGAGGAAAAGAGAAGATTAAGTCTACGTCAGGAGAGAACCGAAAATAATTAACACTCTAAAGAATAATTTCCACAAAAGGATGGTTGAAGACACAGCAAAATTTCTTTTCTTTCTTTCTTTTTTTTTTTGAGCAAGATTAGCCCTGGGCTAACATCTGACATCTGCTTCCAAAGCTCCTTTTTGCTGAGGAAGATTGGCGCTGAGCTAACACTCGTGCCCATCTTCCTCTACTTTATATGTGGGATGCCTGCCACAGCATGGCTTGACAAGTGCTGTGTAGGTCCACACCCAGGATCCAAACTGGCAAACTCCCGGCCACTGAAGCAGAATGTGTGAACTTAACCGCTGCACCACCAGGATGGCCCCCAAAATTTCTTCCTTTCTACCTAATAAGATGGTATTTGGTAGAAGAAAGGATGAGAGGAATCCTAACTGAGGACATCTAAAAATCGTGGATTAAATCATCAGAAGCCATATTAGGAAAATTAAAATAAACAAAAGATACAGGTTTGCAATAAAAAAATGAGACCTTTAAAATAATAACGAGTCTCAATCCAATAATTACATTTCAAAGTATCTAATGATAGTACTAATACAGCATTTATTAACCAAACACTACTTTGTATTTTGACATATGCAGACATCTCTTATTCTACTAGTTTACATAAACGAAGAGACTGTCTTGTATATATTTTTGTTTTTTTGTAGCAGTGGGAGACAGCACAATTATTTATTGAAAGAATGAATGGAGGGGGAATGTGGCATTTCTGACAAAGGACACAATTTGCAGATTAGCATGTTAATTTAATAAACGGAAGAAGGTATACCAAACAATAAGGTTCCCAGATTGTGATTTGAGCTCATTCAGCCCAAGATATATTATTTGAAGCAGAAAATATTTAAGAAGAAACCCAGTTTATTGCCAAAGATAAAAGCGCACAGGAGGAACAGAGTTACATATGAGGGCAAACTGTCTGTGACAACTGTTTTTCCATCCATCATCCAGATTGATTCAGCCAATCTACCTGGTGATAGAGCACTGTCTCCTTTCTTACAAAAAGCATGTGCCCACCCCCCACCCCACTCCCCACAGTTGCACACTGAGTGGAAGACGATCTATCCAAATTGAAAACGGCCCATTTTTTGGCAAGGAATGCAAGTTGCCAGAAACACCAAACAGAATCCAGGCAAGAAACGGAATAAGCTCTAAGAAGCTAAGAATTCAGTGTGTATAGAGAAAACCAGCAGGAAGAATACATACCACTTGATCACTCATTGGCCTCATCATCCGAGCCAGGACATTCAGCAAGTCTTGTCTCTTGAGGAACTGGATAAACAAGAGAACAGTTGGAACTTCCACTTAGAATAAAGAAAAGACCTTGGAGGAGGAACCAAATGCTTCATCAAATATAATCTACATTTGCCAGTCAGTAGAAAGATGATTTTTAGATCTCATTTTAACTCCAACATGAAAGGATGAAACACTAAACTTAGAGAATTTGGAATCATGCTGGAAAAAATGAAAGGAAGATATACATTATACCAGAAATTCCCTACTTACCCTCAGCTGGATGAGCATTCCCTCACAGCACACTCGACCAGAACACCACAGGTTGTAGATATGCTCATTCTCCTGGTTTAGCTTGCCTGTGCTTGTGGCTTCTTTGTTAGTTCCATCATCCCCTAGGCGTAAAACCACTTAACGTGATTCATGGAAAATGTTGGGGCTTAATCACCACACCCTCCTCCACCTTGACCCCAAAATCATCGGAGCTGTACTTTGCTATCTTGGGGAATTACCCTTTGGACATAGATTACAACAGACGGGCAGTGTTACTTTTACTTTTAAAACTCTTTATTGTCTCCATAAAAAAATTATGGACTCTAGCATTACCTCTATGTCTTTGTTAGTTAATGACAATCAGCTTGGAGTATAAATTTCTCAAGAGTTGACACAAAATGAAGGAAAGTCAGTTTAAATGTCTCTGCCAAAAGTTAAAGAAAAACAAAAAAACTATGCAGTGAATAAAATATATCATTAATACAATCTATTCAACACTCCCTCACTGTGTCTCCTATGAGTTAACATTAACCAAGTTTGCTTTTCCAACAGCAAAATTGTAACAGTGGTATTAAGAGCTGTATTTTAGATTGAGAAAAAGCTCAAATTCCAATCATTTCCTCTCTTCATTTAATCATTAAGCGTACAAAAGAAATTGTTCAACCTCACAAGGTGAAGCAGATTGATACACTGAATGAAAACACATGAGGTGAAGTGGAAGGCGTTAACGTCTGTTTATTTTTTCCCTTAATCTTCAGGTCAAAAAGTACTCTGAAATACCATGGGACAGCAGAAAGAGTATGGACTTTGGAAATAAGTAGTCTAGGTTCTAATATCATGGTTGGAATTTAATAGTTTAGGCAAGTTTTAACATTTCTGGAAGTCAGTTCCCTCCTTAGGAGAACAGAAACTATATCCAACTGACCGTGCGTTACAAAGATTAAATAAGAAACAATGTATGCAAAGTACCCAGCACATCATACAATCCTCTGCGAAAGATGGACGCTTGCTTACTATTAAAGGGAAACAAAGTGTTACAAGCAAACAAAGGTGAAGGCAGCGAAGACCACCTTACTCCCTACACTATACAACTACAGGGGTTCCTCTGAGGTGCTTCAGTGTACACCTCTTCAGTGGATCTGAAACTAAACTGCCCAGAATCTGAGGGAATTCTGAGAGATTTCTAATTTCTAAAAGATGAACTGAAAGCATTTATCAAGCTACCTAAAATGTCAAAATTACTTGCTTTCCGCCAGACTTTTATCAACTTGTTTTGATAACGTGATTATCTCATTCTAATCAGGAGATGCTTAGCAACTATTGATTAATGAAAGATGAGGAAATTATTTTATAAATGCAATTTATTCAGTATATAAAACCTAACAAAAATAGGATCCTTGAGAGAAAATAAAGCATCTTCTTCTGCAGTGCATGAAAGAGTTAGATGCTTATACTGAGGGGCATAAACAGTTCTCACCAGATGGTTTTCAAGCAGGCAGCTGGACTTGTATTAGCCTAACTTACCTACTAAGGCAAAGTTGCTCTCCAAAAGTTCTCTATGAGTGTTAAACCAGGCCTGAGCAAGGCGACTGTTTTTATTCTTTCCAATAATATAATTCATGATGTAGGCAAGCAGACCGGTCACCATCAAAATTTCTAGATAGTAACTCTCCCAACTGTTCTGGAGGTGTGCAGGAACCTAAAGAAGAACAATCATTCCATTTAATGTTGGCTGAGGCTGAAAGATGGAGTCTAACTCATGGGATGAAGAAGAATTGAGAAAACCCATGAACAGAAGTGGATACTTTAGATAACTGTCACTGAATATGGTTATACTTCTGAAAAATATGACCATTTTGGTTTTCTATCTTAGCTTCATGAAAGATTCTTTAAGGAAATTGAGGATAATCAAATGGGACGAAAAGCTGGAAAGCTCTTTGTATTAACCTTGATTCTGTATCCCATCCCAAAATAAATTCAATGTCTATCCTCTTCATCATTCCTTGATAAATAAAACTAGGAGACCAGAACAAAAATATAGGGGTTACTTCTCTAGGAGTGTGGTGTTTTAAAAGAATTGATATCAAACTCTTTCAAAGCTCACACTATTACATCAGCACCAGCTATATGTCACTATATATTTCTGGGATTAATGACAGCAAGATATTTTGTTGGTTAGTTTGGAATTCAGAATCCTGAATACCTACATCAACAATTGTTATCGGGTCTTTATTTTTGCTAGAAGAAGTATCTGGTTTGTCTTCATAACCTTCAAATTCTTCATCATCATATGGCTCACTCTCGGTATCTCCCTCCTACAAAAATGAGGCACAATCTGTTTTCCCCTCCAAATGTCACCAGCAATTGTATCTCATTTTTGCAGGTAACACTTGGAGAGGAAAACAAAACATGTAAGCAGCTGAGCACAGAACACCCAGATATTACATGTTTTTTAACAAATGATGACTCTCCATGCTTCTGAACCCTGAGATCAAAATGATACAATTCCCACTTATACACGGTATCTATTCTCCACCCCTTCCCCCAACCAGCCTCTCCATAGAGGAGAAAAATACAATTCATTCTTCGATCACTGTAAAAGGTGGGAACATACCGCAAAAGAAGAAGAGCTCTACCTACTGAACAAAAATGAAGATACCAGAGAAAGCAAAGGTTTCCCTAGACCTGAGCCTTACCTTTAACGTCTGGGGAAAGTGCCAGTTACACCTTTTCCCATCCTTCCAATTTCCCAAGAAATCAATAAAAAAGAACCTCACCTGGGTATCTGCATCTTCAAAATCTCCTTCTTGGTTTTCATCCTGCCCTTCTAACTCCACAGTGGTCTCATCTTCATCATCTTCAGTGGTTATCACCCGTTGAGGAGATTCAGTAACAGAATCTTCTGTGACATCCTCAAATTCAGCAAAGTCATTATCATCATACTCTGCTATGTCTTCCTCATCCTCAAAATCATCAAACTTGGCTTCAGAGACACTCCCAAACACCAAAAGGACAACACAGAAAGCGTGGAAGGCTCTCATTGCACCTTAAAATGAGTTAAAAAAATAATAACCTAAATGGACTGCCATTCTACATATACCGATCAAAATTTGTAAATAGTTAAAAAATAAATCTATGACTCTCTCCTGTTTTTCTTTTTTTAATAGTATTCATTTCAGACAGCATCATATAAAGAACAGTGAGGTGAGGGTCAAGAGGCCTGGGTTCTAGTCTGGACTCTGTCACTAATTATCTATAAAATCTTGCACGAGTCATTTAATATCTTTAGGTTAGTTTCTATTTACATTGTGTATTTGGTAAGCATTTTTTAAGAGTGTATAAAAAGCTTTATACAGGAACTGGTAAGGGGTATAACAAAATAAGAATGAGATGCAACTATTTATCTGTTAGTGGTAACAAAAACAATACATGAATAGAAAAGCCACTCATCCTTAGATGAACTGTGTGTGTGCATATGCGAACATCATCATCATCATCAAATCAAATGATGAAGACACACAGTGCTAGGCCCTGTCCTAAAGGCTTTACAAAAAGCAACTAATTTAATCCTCATAACAGCCTTTGAGGAAAGTAGCATTATTAACATCCCCAATTCACAGATAAGCAAAACAAAACACAGAGATGCTAAGTAATACAACTACCAAGTGACACAGAGCTGTGATCTGATCCTGATTTTGCCTCCAGAATCCCTGCTATGAACTACCTCTGTAAGCCGGTGGCTGTGATTTTTTTATTAGTTCTTGAAGTAGTAATATTTTGCTAACAAAACTGTTCCTAGTGTGCATGATGGAATTAAATACGCTGACATTTCATAGTCTTCTGAAAAGAACACTAGGTATTCCACCATCTAAATGAGTTTTTGAACCAACAAATATAATGAAACCAGATCTGTGACAAAAATGTGCCAAATGATATGAAAACACGAAGGACAATGAAATCATCTTACCAAACAGGTAAGGCTTTACAAAAAAGGGAGAACACTTGAGCTAGAGTTTGAAGAGTAGTTAGATTTCAACCATCAAATCTATTTAGGCTGTCTTTCTAGCCTTCCCCCTCATCTAAACACCAGTCCTGTATCACTGATTGTCTAACAGACATGCCCATTTTGATGCCTTACAACCCTTTTCTGTACAGGGTCAGACAGTAAATAATTCAGGCTTTGCGGGCCACATACTGGTCTCTGTCACATATTCTTCTTTTTTAAAACAACTCTTTAAAAATGTAAAAACCATTCTTAGTTCACAGGATGTATAAAAATAGTCCACCTCTCAGGCTGCAGTCTGCTGACCTCTGCCCTACAATCATCGCAAAATCAACAGGTACCTGAATTTCTCTATTTCTACATTAGCATCAATCACATTTTTCCAGTCTTATTTTTGGTAAAAAGCAAGATATCTAATTTCTCATTTCATTTTCCCTTCAAAATCTAATTAGCCATTAAATCTTGGTGTTTCCTTCTTTGATTCCCAAAGCCATCATGATAATCGAAGTTGTCACCACCTGCTGAAGAACCACAGTATTATTTTAAATGGTCTCCCCGTCTCAACCCTCTCTCAACTTCTCCTCCCTAAAAACCACCATCATCTCTCTAATGTACAACTTTTGTTACATAAGGAATCAACAATCATCAAAGGCTAACCAACTCCTGCAGAATAATTTTTAAAAACTTCTCTGGCTTATGCTACTTTTCATAAAATGACCTTGCCATATCTAATCAAATGTACCTTCACTGAGCGTATCACCACGTCAGATACTATGCCAAGAGAAGTAAAACATGATTCCTGGATGATCATAAATTTGCACGAGAACTTAGCTTCAAGGATATGTGTTACAGTACTACTTAGGAAAAAATTTGAAACTGTTAAACTATGGGGTACATACAAAAAAAAATTTATTTTGTCCATTAAAAATTGTTACAAATGAAGTTATTAGAACCCATGTTGTTTTAGAAGCAAATACACATAAAAAGGTTTAGAAGGACATATCTCTACATATAGATAATTTTTTTTGTATGGTGTTGGGTTTGGATTATGGGCATTTTTCTTTACATTTTTCTACTTTTCCTTTCATGAGATTTTGTAATAAAAAGAAAAAATTCCTCTAAAAATAAAATAAAAGCATTGTGCCTGTACTCAAGAAAAGCACTGAAGACTGAGGAATAGCTGTAGCATAGAGGCCTAAAACAGCATAGTTTAGGAGTTTGTTGTGATGGAGCATTGGGTTTGTAGACTCAAGCTGGGGAAATGAGGTTAGAAAAGCCAGCAGGGGCCAGATTATGATGATCCTTATTTAAATACTACACTAAGAAATTTGGATAGTTAGAATCAACTAAATGATTTTAGTAGGAGAGCGACACTATCAGATTTGCAATTTAACCCTCACAGCTCATACATAGAGTGAATTGGAGAAAGGCATCTGAGGCAGGGAAAATAGGAAGTGGCTGAGATAATTACATGAGAGATAAAACAGGATTGAACTGGCAGTGGTACTGGGAATGAAGAGGAAAACAGATTTGTCAGATATTTAAAAATTATATTTGTTAGCACAAAGTGATTGGACATAGGGAATGTGGGAAAGGAAGATATGGGGTGATTCCAAGTTTTGGTTTGATAAATAGCTGGACAAAGTTATCTTTGAGATAAAGAACAATAAAGAAGGAAAAAATTGGGGGGAAAGGAAATGACTTAAATTTAGTACCTGTTGAAAAGTTTGGAGTGTTTTCAAGCAGTATGTTAGATGATTAACATTTATCTCTTAATTTTCACAATATCCCTAAAAGATATTATAATCTATTTTTACAGAGGGAGAAAAGGAAGTAGTTAGAAATGTAAGTTTGGAGTTCAGGATACAAGCCTGAGCTGGAAATAGAGATGGTGTGGGAATGGATGAGATTCCCCACGGAGAATTAAGAAATAGGTTAAAAAAAAAAAAAAGCACCAAAAAGTCTTGAAACAAATCACACCTAAGATTTGGGCACAATAGGAAGAACTGGAATGTGAAACTAAGAAGGACTGGTTAGAGAAAAAGAAGAGACTGGCCCAAGAGGTATCATAGAAGTCAAAGGAGAAGCACATTTCTAAGAAGGAAACAGAGCTCAGTTTCAATTACTGCAGAAAGTTCAAGTAAGATATGGACCAAAAATTTCCAAATGTTAATAACGAAATTATTATTGGCAACTGCAGGGAAGTGGCAAAGAAGGAAGCCAGAATGCAGGGAGTTAAGTACTAATGGAGGTGAGTGGGTGGCAAAAGTGAGTTTGTACTACTCTTTCAAGGTGCTCTGGGATAGCGAATATTCTATATCTCATATTCACGACACCATAAATTCTTTTTTTCTTAAAGATTTTATTTTTCCGTTTTTCTCCTCAAAGCCCCCCAGTACATAGTTGTATATTTTTAGTTGTGGGTCCTTCTAGTTATGGCATGTGGGATGCCGCCTCAACATGGCTCGACGAGCGGTGCCATGTCCGTGCCCAGGATCTGAACTGGCGAAACCCTGGGCCTCTGAAGCTGGAGCGCACGAACTTAACCACTCAGCCATGGGGCCGGCCCCGACACCATAAATTCTTAAAGCAATCAGTTCAATATCAAAGGTTATTGCCCAATACCCCGCACCCCATCATTGCTCAAGAAATATTCTTAGAGTTGGACAAAGTTCATAAATTTTGAAAGGTGCAAATGATTTGAGAAATGCCATAAAGGATGGGCCAATAGTATATCCTTTCCAATATTTGATCTTTGAGGTTAGCACCAGGGGACATTTTATGAGAAAACATAGCTCATTCTCAACATCAACCTCAAAAGGTCTGTGATGTGTCTCCAAACATCCCTAGCTCCCTTTCATAACCTTTTATTATAGTCAAAAGTGGAAGAAATATGAAAAAAAGCATGTACTTTGGTGGAGTTAGATTTGGTTTAAAATGTCAGCCCTACCATTTGCTAGCCATATGATCTTGGGTTAATTACTTAAAATACCCTATTCCCCACATACGAAAAAGGGATACTCATTCATTACTTGACTCACAGGGCTGTAGTGGTATTGCAGGAGATATGTGCTTGGCACATAGAAGGCATTCAATAAATGAGTTCCCATTATTTCCTTCCCCTGTGCCTTGTGAACACCCTTTAAGTTTTTTAAGATTTAAAAAACTTCATTTTTAGTGTTTCCCTTTTCAGATCTCGGCTAAAAACTTTTTCAAATAGAAGCAAATAAAGGTTAATGTTGCCATAGCCAACTTGATTAACTGCCTGTGAAAAGGTCTGATCATTTCAAACTCCACTTAGAAATGTTCACATAACAGAAGCATTTCTAAGATAACTCAGCACTGTAACAGGGGTCCTTCAAGATTATCTATGTTAAAATCATCCAAGCCATTTGTGCCTTGGCCTTCTCTTTCAGAAGTCTCTCTGCTGCACCTGTCAAGTCATTTCTCAAATGCACAACTCCCTGCCAGGCCACTCAGTCCTGAAACTCCTGCGGCAGGGAACACAAGCACTAACAAGTCTGGTTTGATTATCTTCTGCTAGCTCGCCTGGCAGTCTCTCAGCTACTGGGTCTGGGCTCAAAAACAACCGAGGAATAAGGCGCGGGGGACGGGCCGGCGGGGGGTGCGGGGGCGGGGGGTCATTCCTTGTTGCCATTTAAATTAGGACTTTCTGACAATGGCCACACTATGAGACTTCCGGAAATCATGTAGACATTCCCCTGTCTTCTTAAACACCTTGGATAAAAACACGTCTTATGTTAGAAACCTTCAGAGAAGACTGGCCACAAAGGTTGCTGCTTCTTTTAAACCACCCGGGTCTAGTCTTTCCCCATCATGGAGAATCAATTCATCCTAAGGTCTATACTCCGTTCTTCCTACTACACACTATAAGTTTCCTCTAACTTTGCCCTTCTGTTTGGCATTTGCTCACAGCTCTTTAGGGAAGTTCCCCCAAACCGTTAAAGTCACCCCAATCCCGAAGATCAACAGAAAACGGGCCTTGGGATAGACAAAGTTTGCTTGTTTTTAAGAAAGATGGGAGAGGTGAGAAGGCGCGGGGACTGACGTCACAGGCCGGACTTAGGGGGTGAGGTGGGAAACGGGACCGGGTTAGGCCACGCAACTCAGTCACCGCTCGGCCTGGCCCAGCCCCATCGATTTACGCGTCATGACCCGCTTCCTACCTGTGCTGGGCGCTAGAACCCGGCCCAGCGCTCCCGCAGCCACCACCTCCACCCCGCCGGCGTCTCTAGCCGGCTGCCGCCTGCGTGGCCACCACGGTTTTACTGTCCCTGATCCCTCTAGGACATAGACCCACCACGCAGCTCAGTCACGCCGAGCCACTCTTCACGCAGCCTCCACCATCCGTTACGTAGAACGCGTGCGGTCCGTCCCCCCAGCGTAGGGCGTTGGGGGCGGGACGCAGCCTCGGGGACCGCGCGAGACCTCCTCCCCAGCTCAGCTGGGACGAAGAGGGGCTGCTGGGAAAATTACATAATCCCTGCCCTGGGCCGGAACTGCCCGCCTCGATTCTAGCTCTCTCCGCTAGGGTTCGGTCAAGTTGTCATCATGCTGAACGGATGCTCCGGAAGCTAAAGGTAGCCATGCTCCATGGGACCACGTGGCTAGAGGCACGCGGAGAAATGTTGCCCTGGATTAGAGTTTAGGGGACCGATAATCTTATGTAAATGTGGTTTCCGCCCACGCCCTTTTCTTGGGATTTTTTGGCTGCTCCCTGTAACTGCTACTGTTTCCTCCTTCCCAGGCCCACGTCTTAGACGAGCCAGGAACACTCCCCACCCACCAGCAGTGTCCTGTCAAAGTGTCTAAGGCGGCAGCCATTCCGGAGCTTTAAGGTCGGCAGTCCGCGGCGCCTTCCGGGAGCCGTAGCCCCAGGCTCCGCCCTTCGGCCCGCGCGCTCTGCACTGCGCATGTCAGGTGTGCGTTCCCCTCCCCCCTTCAGCAACGGGCCGAGAGGCGGCGGCGAAGGGGGCGGAGAAGGAGGAGAGCGGCGGGACGAGGCCCGGACCGCGCGTACTTCGGGCCGCGGGATTGTTTCCGCGTAGGCGGTAGTAGCAGCTGCCGCTGCGGCCACAGCAGCAGGTTTGTGCGAGGTGGGTCTGGACGCGGGACTGCTACCCCTTGGGGGCACTGGAGGCAACTGTGGGGCCTAGCGAGGACCCGGGAACCGCGGCCTCGCTCAACAAAGAGTCGGCGGAGCCTCCGGGCACCAGAGGCCCAGGAGGCTGGCGAGGGGTGGGAATGCGAGGCTGAGGCCTGAGGGGTCTTTCGTAGCCGCGACTCCCTCCCACTGCTCCTGCTTCTCCCGTAACTCTTAGCGAGGCCCAGTTGGCGGCTTTCCGGAGGCGGCGCCCGCCCGCTCGCCCTGGTAGGAAAGGGATTTGCAAGGTGCCGGGCTCCGGGGCAAGGGATAGCCGCTGGGAGGATTCTGACCCAAGTCGGCTGCAGTTGGCAGATGCAAACTTCCAAATCGGGGAGACCGGATAGGCAAAAGTTGCCAAATCGGAAGGCAGTAAAGGCACGGTCGGTGATTTTTGTGCAGCCTGGAGTAGATCAGTAATTTGCATCACCGTCGTCACACAAACTTTTTTGCGGCCTACTTAAGAGCTTATCTGATGTGAGTAAATAATTTACATGGAGTTGCGAGCATAAGCACCGATAATATAGGGAAGAACTATCGTAGTAGTCGAGAGTTTTAGAGTCATAGCTTCCTCGTCACTTTAGTGAACCATTTTCCCCTTTGCCCCTTCCTCCTTTAACCGGTCATTCAATTTCTTCTGGCTTCCCTGTATATTGTTCATTGTAAGTGATGTTTCTGTATCTCTTCTCCCCCATATACACACCCCGGAGCTCCTAAGGGGCAGAGATTATGTTTTAATTCACTTTAACTTTCCAGAGCCAAGTCCACTTCTGGCACATAGAGCGAGCAGTAAGTGTTTCATATAAAAATTAATTTTTAGACTTTCAGCAGTGAAAAAAAAGTGTGTAGTATTTTCCTGTACCTGGAAGGGGTATTATATGGCTTAATCTGCAATTCATTCAGGAAATATTTTTGTTGATGTCTACTGTGTGCCTATTTCCTAGCACTTTTCTAGGTCTGTGACCCCTGCCCTCATGAAGCTTGTTTTTTAGTAGGTAAGAGAGACAATAAATACATAAATTATACTAAATGTTAGAAGATGATTAGTGCCTTAGATAGAAAAATAAAAATGGAAAGAGGGTTGCAGAGGTGTTGCATTTTGAAATAGAGTGGTCAGGGAAATATTTAGAGACAAGCTGATATTTAAGGGTCTAGAAGGAGGTGAGGGGAGTGAGCCCAGCGAGTATCTGGGGAAAGGAATGTTCCAGGCAGAGGAAGTAGCAAGTGTCAAGGCCTTAAAGAGGACAGTGCTAGCTTGTCAGAAGAGCAGTTGGAAGACCAGTGTGCTTGGAGCACCGTGTGCAAATGAGGGAGTAAGAGGAGATAAGGCCGGGGAAGAACTGAGGGGCGCAGAGAACAACCAGGACCTTTTAGGCTTTTGCGAGCATTTATTTCCCTTTGGCCCTGCCTGGGATGGGGACCATCTGAGGCTTTTGAGCAGAGGAGTGTTGAGATTGGATTTACATTGTAACGATTTAGTGTAATTCATGGAGGATTCAGTTCTTTATAGTATTCTAGTTTTATCAAGTTGATATTCATATAATCAGCTCTAAGTTTCTTTAAGCTAACAGAAAGGAAAGAGATGCTTCTAAAATAAGTGTAACCCAGCATTTACTTATATTTGGCTTTAGAAGAAAGTGATAAAATTCTTGGGTTTTGTACAGATTCTCATTAAAGAACTGACCAGTTTACAGTGTATGAGATGTTCTCAAGGCAGATTATTAAAATAGATGCTAATCAACTGTCATTAGAATGCTCTTCTACTCCAAAAACACAAGTGATAAAGGTTATAATGTGGGTTTATAATCAGTTGTTTTTAGTCCACTATTTTTAAAGTCATTTAGATCATATCTTATTTTCCACCACTGCCCAAAGCATAAACTCTAGCCAAATTATCTTGCTTGTGTTTCACTCTTGTTCTAACTTCCTAGCCTTTGCTATTTTAGTTTTCCTCCCCAGAATGTCTTATTCCTTCACACTTCTCTACTCAGCTTGCATCTTTCTGTGCCTGGCCTGTGTACTAGCTCTCTTATGAAGCCTCTCCCCACTTGTCAGCTCATAGTGATCTCTGACATCTTCAGTGTCGCGTAGCAGTTATGTATGGAATCCCTGGGTTGAAAGAGATCTGAGAAATCTTGCTTGATTTCCCCGTTTACCAATGAAGAAATTGATTTCTGGAGAAATAATAATGATAAACATGACAGCTATTACACACTGTGTACTTATGATGTTCCAAGCTTTGTTCTAAGTGTATTTTTGTGTGTGGACTCAGTTTTTCACACCAACCCTGTGAAGTAGGTGATAGTCTCACCATCTTACGGGTAAGGGAACTGAGGCCCAGAGAAGCTAAATAATTTTCTTGAGTTTCACATCAATTAGTGGCAAAGCTAGAGTTTGAACATAGTCAGCCTGTCTCCATAGTCTCTGGTACTTTACTGTGCTTATGATTTTCTGCTAAATCACAGCATTTTAGTGCCTAGAAGCATACCAAGTAGGGCTTTATGCTATCTTTAATTTTTCTCCTCAGCCAAGTTGAAAATCTCTTTGGGTCTCCTATATATTGAATAAACATGAATAATGAGTATATGCTTTGGAAAACAAGAGATAAAAAATAAATAAGCCTGCCTTTTCACCCATGAAACCTGTAACATGGAGTTGGAGAGAGAAAACAAGAACGCAAATAGTAATTCTGATTAAATGTTGGGTGTTTTAAGACTAGAAAGGGAGTTTGAGGAAAGAGATACCACTTCTCTGGGGGAATCATATTTACGTCATAGTTCTAGGAGTTGGTATTTGAGATGGACTTTGAAGGATAGGACTTTGGTAGGTATAGTGAGAGGTTTAGTGGGGAGGGAATCCGGGTAGAGGGAAGAGCATGGACCAAAGTGCTTGGTTTTCTGGGAAAACTGATGCATGTGGGGAAACCCTGGGAGATATGAATGGTAAAGTACAGTAGTTTGTTGCCATAATGAGAGTCTCATTCCAGCCTTGTTGAGTAACGGTGGAGAGCTGTTGAATTGAAGGGAATGACAGAATCATAAATGTATGTCAACAAGGTTTAGGGCCAAGATCTAGAAGAACCTGGAAGAGGGTTTTTGCAGAGCCTCTGAATGCTCACTTCCTTTGGGTGTGACTTTCCCTAGTTCCACAGTATTAACAAACACAATGTTATTCTGCCAAAGGAGGTAGAAATTCCTCTTCTCTTTTTGCTGTTTATCTCTGACCCAGCATTACCTCACCATTTTGTACTTTACCACGTAGAGTCTCTTCTTGTAGATTATGGAATATTTACTGGTTATAGATGCAGCTTCTAGATGTACATCAACATGACTTTCCAACAAAACAGACATTCTTTTGACAGTAGAGTTGTGGGAGTGGGGGGTTGCTTGTCAAATGTCAAGTATCAGTCACTTCAAAGAGGCCTTACCTGACTTCTTTCTATCTGTAATAGTTTACCTCTTGCCTTGCTTCCTTTTTTTTTTTTAAGCACTTTTACTACCTGAAATTCTATGATTTGTTTTTCTTTCTCCTGGACCAGACTGAGCTCCCTGAGGGCTGGGGCTGAATCGGGTTCCATTACTGTATCCTCAGCACCTAGAACAGTGCCTGGCAAAATAGGCACTCAGTATATTTTGAATTCTTGATCACTCTAGTAGTGGTCTGGAGGCTGGATAACAGAAAGACTTGCAGTGGTGGAGGTGGAAAGGAGAGGTGTCCCTCAAAGTGCTGGGCACATAACAAAGTGGTTATTGGTCAGAATGAAACAATGTTTATTATTACTAAGACCCAACTTAGGTTGTTCTCTTTAAAGCACATGCTCATTAAATTTTGTTTATGGTTCTGTTATACACTATTTCTTTCCAAATTAGATGTTTTTATTTTAAAAAGCAATAGTTTTTAAAGAGCAAAAGTGTAGTTGAATATTGACAAGTATGTTTGCATTCCTCTTTCATAAACTGGGTAAAATAACAACGTAACAATTTTGTTATTGTTTTTAAGATTGTGGTAAAATACATATGAAAAAATCTTAACCATTTTTAAGTGTACAGTTCAGTGGCATTAAATATATCCACATTGTTTTGCTACCATCAGCACCATAGTGTCCACACAGTCTTTTCATCTTGTAAAACTGAAACCCTGTGCTCATTAAACAATAATTCCCCATTCCCACTCCCTCTAACCCCCAGCAACCACCATTCTGCT